CACATTATCTATGATTATCAGCTCAGTATCTACCTAATTGTGGATTCTATGTTCAAATAATCGCAAAAAATGAACAAAATTGCCCATATCTCAGTTCGCAATATTTGCAAAACTGACTTCGCTCAAAACAATAGAACTCAATAGGGTGTCAATATTTTTTCATGAAATTTTCAGAATCAACGTAGAATTGTCTCATGACCTTAAGTTTTGGGACAGAATTTTGAGTTAGGCCTTTAAAAAAATTTGGCGGCCAAATTCCAGTTTGGTCCTAGTTTGTTGGTCAACTGCTATCTCGAAACCAAGTTTCACAAAAAAATCAGGGTGAACCCCCCCCCCCCCCCCCCCCCCCTTAAAGTAACAAGTAGGTTAACTGATTATGGATCGGGGATGTTTAGAACTGGCAGATCCGGTCTTAATCTTGTTGCAAGCAATAGATGCAGTTGAAGTTTAACTAAAGTAAAGAATATCCAGAAGTCTTTTCTCCCGGAGCGAGTTATTCCATATTGGAATAAACTCCCTCCCAACGTCAAGAACTCTGTGACAGTTTTAGGTTTTAATAAGAATTGAGGGAGCCAGTTATGTCAGTTATAAAGAGAAACATAACAATTATCTTTGGTTCAATCCTAATGTGGGAAAGAAGCGTTTTGTAAATCTTTATTCCACTGGGAAGTTTTTAAAATAGGATAATGTTTTTGATAAATTTGAAAAATATTGTATTTGATAAATAATTAATGTTGGTGGGAAATATTTATTATATTTTTTTTCACATAATGGGGGGGGGGTGACATGTCTCCAATGTCTCCCGCACCTTATCTTTTCGAAAAAGACAAAGAAATTGGAGACATTGGAGACATTGGAGACATTGGAGACACAGCTTTTGGAGACATTGGGAATATTGGGGACATAATATGGATATTAGGGGGATCATGTTTTTTGTCCGTTTGGTACCCTATATTTTCAAAACGGACAAAAAATAGAGCAGACAAAAACGGACAAAAAATAACAAAATGGCAATAACATTTAGATGCTTCCTCCTCCTCCTCCTCCTCCTCCTCCTCCTCTTCCTCCTCCTCTTCCGCCTCCTCCTCAGTCCTCCTCAGTCGTTCTCCTCCTCCTCCTGGCTCCTCTTCCTGGCTCCTCCTCCTCCTCCTCCTCTTTATCCTCTTCCTCTTCCTCCTCAATCATCAGTCCTCCTCATCCTTCTCGTCAGTCCTCCTCCTCCTAAGTCCTCTTTAAGTCCCCCTCCTCCTCAGTCCTCCCCCAGTCCCCCTCCCCCTCCTCCTCCTATTCAGTCCTCCTCCTCCTCTTCAGTTCTCCTCAGTCCTCCTCCTTCTCAGTCCTCCTCCTGAGTCCTTTTCCTGAGTCCTCCTCCTGAGTCCTCCTGAGTCCTCCTCCTTCTCCTCCTCCTCCTCCTCCTCAGTCCTTCTCCTCCTCCTCAATCATCAGTCCTCCTCATCCTTCTCGTCAGTCCTCCTCCTCCTAAGTCCTCTTCAAGTCCCCCTCCTCCTCAGTCCTCCCCCAGTCCCCCTCCCCCTCCTCCTCCTATTCAGTCCTCCTCCTCCTCTTCAGTTCTCCTCAGTCCTCCTCCTTCTCAGTCCTCCTCCTGAGTCCTTTTCCTGAGTCCTCCTCCTGAGTCCTCCTGAGTCCTCCTCCTTCTCCTCTTCCACCTCCTCCTCAGTCCTCCTCAGTCGTTCTCCTCCTCCTCCTGGCTCCTCTTCCTGGCTCCTCCTCCTCCTCCTCCTCTTCTTTATCCTCTTCCTCTTCCTCCTCAATCATCAGTCCTCCTCATCCTTCTCGTCAGTCCTCCTCCTCCTAAGTCCTCTTCAAGTCCCCCTCCTCCTCAGTCCTCCCCCAGTCCCCCTCCCCCTCCTCCTATTCAGTCCTCCTCCTCCTCTTCAGTTCTCCTCAGTCCTCCTCCTTCTCAGTCCTCCTCCTGAGTCCTTTTCCTGAGTCCTCCTCCTGAGTCCTCCTGAGTCCTCCTCCTTCTCCTCCTCCTCCTCCTCCTCAGTCCTTCTCCTCCTCCTCCTCCTCCTCCCTCTCAGTCATCCTCCTTAGTCATCTTCCTCAGCCATCCTCCTCAGCCATCCTCCTCAGCCATCCTCCTCAGCCATCCTCCTCAGTACTCCTCAGTCCTCCTCCTCAGTCCTCAGTCCTCATCCTTCTCCTTAGTCCTCCTCCTCCTCAGTCCTCCCGAGTCCCCCTCCTTCTCCTATTCACTCCTCCTCCTCCTCCTCAGTTCTCCTCCTCAGTCATCCTCCTCAGCCATCCTCCTCAGTACTCCTCAGTCCTCCTCCTCAGTCCTCAGTCCTCATCCTTCTCCTTAGTCCTCCTCCTCCTCAGTTCTCCTCAGTCCTCCTCCTTCTCAGTCCTCCTGAGTCCTCCTCCTCCTCTTCCTCCTGAGTCCTCCTCCTGGGTCCTCTTCCTCCTAGGTCCTCCTCTTTCTCCTTCTCCTCAGTCCTTCTTCTCCTCCTCCTCCCTCTCAGTCATCCTCCTCAGCCATCTTCCTCAGTACTCCTCAGTCCTCCTCCTTCTCAGTCCTCCTCAGTCCTCTTCCTGAGTCCTCCTCCTGAGTCCTCCTCCTCCTGAGTCCTCCTAAGTCCTCCTCCTGGGTCCTCCTCCTCCTAGGTCCTCCTCCTTCTCCTCAGTCCTTCTCCTCCTCCTCCTCCCTCTCAGTCATCCTCCTCAGTCATCCTCTTCAGCCTCAGCCATCCTCCTCAGTACTCCTCCTCATCCTTCTCCTTAGTCCTCCTCCTCCTCAGTCCTCCCCAGTCCCACTCCTCCTCCTATTCACTCCTCCTCCTCTTCCTCAGTTCTCCTCAGTCCTCCTCCTTCTCAGTCCTCCTCCTACTCCTCAGTCCTCCTCCTCCTCAGTCATCCTCCTCAGTCCTCCTCCTCCTCCTGGGTCCTCCTCCTGGGTCTTCCTGATCCTCTTCAGTCCTCTTCCTCCTAGGTCCTCCTCTTTCTCCTTCTCCTCAGTCCTTCTTCTCCTCCTCCTCCCTCTCAGTCATCCTCCTCAGCCATCTTCCTCAGTACTCCTCAGTCCTCCTCCTTCTCAGTCCTCCTCAGTCCTCTTCCTGAGTCCTCCTCCTGAGTCCTCCTCCTCCTCCTGAGTCCTCCTAAGTCCTCCTCCTGGGTCCTCCTCCTCCTAGGTCCTCCTCCTTCTCCTCAGTCCTTCTCCTCCTCCTCCTCCTCCCTCTCAGTCATCCTCCTCAGTCATCCTCTTCAGCCTCAGCCATCCTCCTCAGTACTCCTCCTCGTCCTTCTCCTTAGTCCTCCTCCTCCTCAGTCCTCCCCAGTCCCCCTCCTCCTCCTATTCACTCCTCCTCCTCTTCCTCAGTTCTCCTCAGTCCTCCTCCTTCTCAGTCCTCCTCCTACTCCTCAGTCCTCCTCCTCCTCAGTCATCCTCCTCAGTCCTCCTCCTCAGTCCTCCTCCTCCTCCTGGGTCCTCCTCCTGGGTCTTCCTGATCCTCTTCAGTCCTCTTCCTCCTCCCCTCCTCAGTCCTCCTCCTCCTCAGTCCTCCCCATCAGTCCTCAACAGTCCTCCTCCTCCTCATCCTCCTCTTGGGGCCTTTTCCTGGGTCCTCCTCCTGGGTCCTCCTTCTCCTGGGTCCCCCTCCTCCTGGGTCCTCTTCCTCCTCCTTCTCCTCCTCAGTCGTTCTCCTCCTCAATCGTTCTCCTCCTCAGTCGTTCTCCTCCTCAGTCGTTCTCCTCTTCCTCCTCCTCCTGAATTGCTGTACAGGGAATGTAATGATGGATGTAATAGTCCTTTCATCATTTAGGTGGGGGGTGTGGCACAATCATACATCTACGTCTCCAGTGTCTCCAATGTCTCCAAAAGCTTTGTCTCCAATGTCTCCAAAAGCTGTGTCTCCAATGTCTCCAATGTCTCCAGGACATGTCTCCGTACCCTATCTTTTCGAAAAAAGACCCCCCCCCCCCCCAATAATGCGATGATATTTTGTAGACATGTGTGATGATGTGATGTCATACATTTTACTTTACTCTACTTTTATTATCCTATAAAATCACTTAATTTGCTCAATTTTAGGGGGTCACATTTTCGACAGGGGGGGCCCCCGGGGGGGGGGAGGGGGCATGCTTCACATTTGAGACCTGCAAATTGTCAGATGATATACTGTTATTACTCATTCGAAGATTCCAATACATGTTTGTGCAAGTTACCTGCCTCATGCACATCCGTTTTTGACATTGGTCATTAAGTTGGTCCAGCAGCTCTATAATCACATATCAAATACTTCTCAAATTGACCTTGGTGCACACTCAATTGTATAGTACAAGTAGATAGTTATTATTTATGATTTTAACTATTTTGCTCTCAAATTTTATATTTCCAATTCAATTAATGGAACAGGGAGCTAGAGTTTTCCATTTTAGGTGTACTGTATGTTTTCGTCGATAATATTAATTATTTTGCAAAATGCCCAGCTCAGGTCAAGCTCATGGTGAAACATGTTATTGAATTGTGGTTATATTTTTCTTTTTTAAATTGCCAACATGGAAGCTTATAGATTTTATCAAGTATTTATTTTATTATATCGTCCGCCTGTTACCATCACCTCAGCTCAATTTTTGGAATCTTTTAAAACTTTTTTTAAAACGTACCTTTTCAAACTGTCCCCAGATGAACTTGAAAAACTTTATCGATAACTATTCTGGTCATACTTAATATTTTATCTTTGCATAATAAATTTAATTACCATTTTCGGGCTTTAGTATTGACGTTATATTTTCAAGCATAAGGTATCGAATCTTTTAGCTCAGTATTCATGATATTTTCTGGGATGACTAGTTCAAACACTGCTGAGTATAAGTTTTATCTTAAAAGCGGTGTTATTTAATTTCAATTTATTATTATTATTATATTTATTTCATTGTAAATAAAGGACAAAATTGAAAATTTGTTTCTAGATATTAAACTTGTTTCTCTATTCATGAAAGTTTATTGTGTAAGTATAGTTAAACATGTTAATTTATATTTTCCTACAGTACATTTGAAATGGCAGCTATTGAAGTGGAAAAAGCTGCAGCTGTTGAGGTAAGAGCGGTCTATTATTTATTATATTCTATGCTTTTCTTAATCAGTTAAACAAAAATTTCAATTAAACCAAAATTTCAATTTTATGCCATTTATTACAGAATCAACAAGTTTACAATAAATCAATAATTGATATTTAATGGAATCCTAATTCAATGTGTAGTATGGCTGTCACTCTTTGAATAGATTAGATATAGGTTGACAGGGCAAAGGAGTGTGCGTGCTGTTCGCTATTGCTCACACCAAACGACAACCTAGTTCAAGACTTGATCCAATAGATTCAAGCACCATGCAAGGTTTTAACTCTGGTAAATACAATTGGTTGCAAAGGACAAAGTTTTGTAACTACCTAATAACAACCATAAAACTAAAAATGTATTTTTTTCAGATACTGGCTTCAGCTGAAGAAAAGGTTGTGGAAGCTCCCAAAAAACACCCACTCGAAAATGCATGGACTCTCTGGTTCTTCAAGGAAGAGAAAGATAAGGATTGGATTGAATGTTACAAGAAAGTAGCATCGTTCACCACTGTTGAAGACTTTTGGGCACTCTATAACTTCATCATGCCACCCTCCAAGCTTGCAGTGAAATGTGAATACTCTGTTTTCAAGGTATAGTTCTTAATTTAAATTATTTTGTAAGTCAATTCTAATTTGAAAGTGATGATAAGATGGTATTGTAATCAGCTGAACTGTTAACCAGACAACTTAGGTACCATATTAAATCTTTAATTAATCTATTAGACACAATTTAGCACAATGTGGTAAATAAACCTTGGCTAGATAAGCTCACTTTTAAATCAGATCAGCTTCAATTTCAAGTACTTCTAGTAATTTCAAGTAATTTCAAGTACTTCAATGTGTCATTTTAATTCAGCTTTTTTCAGATTCACGTCTTGAAAAAATATTTCTCGGTCATTCTAAAATTTGATTATGTTAATTGCGGACAACTCGATGCCTTCCAAAAAGATGTGTTAACTTGTTAAATTGCTTGAGACCCGACAACCTGAAGTTCCTTTCCTTTAGGAGGGGATTCAGCCCATGTGGGAGGATAAGCGAAATTTAAAGGGAGGTAGATGGGTGTACGCTGCTCAAAAAACGATGTCATTAGACAAGCAGTGGATGGAAATGGTAAGATTTCTTTCTCCTTTTTATTGTAATTGTACGCATATCTATTTTAGGAGGGGATAAGCCCTATGTGGGAAGACCCACGGAATTGTAAGGGTGGAAAATGGCGCTACAACGTTCAGCAAAAGCACCAAGGCAGCCTTGATGATAATTGGAAGGAAATGGTGAGAAAAGGTTTTGTTTCTCAAAGCGTGTGTGATAAGTGACAAGTAATGAACAAACTTTTATGCAAACTGCCATGCTTTTACTAGCTGCATCGTGAAATTGCAAATTTTGAAGTATTGAAGGATTTAGCAAATGATCTATGGGCAAGATTCTTGGGCTACGTCCTCTTATGGATTATTGATAAGAAATCCGTAAGAAATTGAGAACTTTTAATTACATAATTGGTTCCTGTCATTATCATGCTGACTATGATGCTGCATGTATTTTGTTTTTACATTTGCATGTAATCTTCTGCATTTGAAAATCAGAAATTCGTTAAATATTTTGTATCTAATTTGGTCACCTGCAGTTGATGAGCATGGCTGGGGAACAATTTGACGAGTATTCAAATGAGGTGAATGGAGTAGTACTACAGCGACGAGCAAGGAACGACAGATTAGCTATATGGGTAGCAGACACTAACAATCTGAACTCAGTGCAGAGCATCGGGTACGAATTATCCTGTTCCTTGGCGTGTTATCATTAATACCACTAATTCTGTTTTACTGAAGTTTAAATGTGTACTATTTGTCAGTGTCGTGATGTGGTTTTGATTTTGCTGTGTCGAATATGGTGTTATTTATTGATTCATTTTTAGACTGAAGTTCAAGAACACCCTGGGGCTACCTTCTAACATAAACATCCATTATGAGGTAAAAATTATTATTCATTTTTTTTTTACTCAAATATAATTCTTATGAACGGCCGATATCTTCTGTGATTTTCGATTCGTTTTGACCGTCATAATTAATAATCTATGTATAATACTCCAGTAACAGGTATTATTTCAGTCCCACGCAGATGCTCAGACCAAAGCATCCAGTCACAAGTTCTCTCTGAAGCTATGATTCGAAATAACTCCAATTTAATGTTGATGTTGATAATTTTCTATACAATTTTATCATTGCACAGAGGGTATTGTAAAAGATAAATTTGGTGAAATTGTTTACCTCAATTTAATGTTATTTGTTGACACGTCATCTAATGTTTGTAAGTTATTTGAAACATTTCCTTGTTTAAAATGGAATTAAAAGCTGTTTTATTACGAGTATTTTCCTATTGCAAGTCAAATTTTAGATCTGTTCAAATTTTAATTCTGGCATAATAAGCGCAAGCATTTAATTGTAAGTCAGAAGATGCCAGTCAATGTTACATTAAATAAGGCCCAAAAATACATTTGCATTATACGTAAGTGATCAGAACGAACATTTCTACTTTCATTTCTATTACCTTTTGGGAGTTCTAATTTATCAATTGCAGGTCAAGGCTCGGTGTTTAAATATGGATGGGTACAAAATTGGTGATATAAGCAGCTTCCTCAACGCTAGTTCCACTGTTGACCAGAAACCTGCCAATGATTTATTTGCAGCTGCTGCTCCGGCTGTAGTGGCTGTTGAGGAAGTTTATGCTCCAAAACCAGATTCTGTTCCAGGGAAACGTCCTAAAAAGAATAAAAGCATCGAAGCTGAGCCAGAAGAACCAAAATTCCCCCAGCTCTCTCCTGAAGAGCAGCTAGAAGTAAATAAACGAACTCTTTTTGTCGGAAATCTCCCTGTAGGGTTAAAACGGAAGCAGCTTCGAAAATTATTTGCAGACTTTGGTAAAATACAGAGTTTAAGATTTAGATCTGTTGCAATAAGTGACCTGAAACTTGGCCGGAAAGTTTGCCTGAAAACAAATAAAATCAACGAAAATGCAACCAGCAAGAATGCTTACATTGTTTTTGAGCACGAGGAGTGTCTTGATAAAGCCTTGGCTAAGAACGGTTCAGTAGTTAATGATCTTAACATCAGAGTGGATAAAGTAGTCAAGTCAAAGAAGGAAGTAAAAGAGGATACTAAAAACTCAATATTTCTGGGCAACATTCCATTTGCAGCAACTGATGAGGATATTAGAGCTGCTCTCGCACAATGTGGTGACATTGAGTATGTACGACTATTACGTGATGCTAAGACTAATATTGGGAAAGGAATTGGTTATGTTAAATTTGTGGATTCGGCAGGTGTTATGTTTGCAATGAAAATCAAAGATAATGTAGAAGTAAATGGGAGAAAATTGAGAATCCAGCGCTGCAAGTCGAAATTAACTCTGGAAAACACACAGAAAGCTAAAGAACTGAAGTCGAAAAAGAATGAAGAATCCCAGAATAGTTTTAGAGGAAGAAAGTCTAAGAGTAGTGATAAGGAAGTTTTTGCTGGGAAATCGCTAAGTCACGGAGCAAGAAATTTGACCCTAATAGAAGACCCAAACCAAAGACTCAAAAGCCGATGTCAAAACAGAAATTTGATAAGAAAGTTAATAAAACTTCGAAGAAAGGAGGAGTTGTTGCAACTAAGGGGAAGAAAGACAAGCAATGATCATGATAATTGTTCCAAATTTTAGCTTAACAATTCACAATAAAACTTTTGGTTGGGTTTCATGATGGACTGCCTCTGCTTTTTGGTCTACTTTGATCAGCTTTTTTAGAATATTTTAAGGCTGGAAGTCTGCTTACTCCATCATATTTTAATTTATTAAATTTCAGATTGAGCAAGGTTTATGGTTTCTTTTACAATTTTTGTCAATCATAACTTTTTAAGTGACTACTTTGTGGGCATTACATTTGTTTACTCAAGACCCCCCGACCCCCCACCCCCTTCAATACGCACAGAGCGTGAACTCTGTTCAATCAATCATCAAAACGTTAACATGGCAATACATTTGAACATAAATTCCAGTTAGTTGTTTCTATTATCTGTTATCTATTATATGTTTCGCACTATAACTAACATTTTTGCCACAGTAGTCATGGCTTTAGCCGCAACAAGGAGAACCAATGTAAGTACATTAATTAAAATACATCATTATACTAGGTACATGGTACTACATCATGTAGTACCATGTACCTAGCATTGTCCTCTGGCATTTTGTCCATATTTTAAAATACTTTTTAAGGAGCTATATTATTATTGTAATATTACTGTCATTGCATTTTATGTACTTTTAAATGTTCTTAACCTAAAACCCCGTTATTCCCAGGTTCGTTTACCACCAGAAGTTAACAGAATCCTATACGTCAGAAATCTGCCGTACAAAATCACAGCAGAGGAAATATACGACATATTTGGAAAATATGGTCCAATCAGACAAGTCCGAGTGTAAGTTTAATAGAAGCGGTTTTAGATTGTCGTGAAATAATAGTAATTAATTAATAATAATAATATTTATGATAACAATAATGATATTGCAGTGTTGTACGTGGGATTAGCTGACTAAATAGCTGATAAAGTACAGGGTATCATCATAATACTCAATCATAAATACTGGCCCAACTAAATAGTGAATAGACGTGTTATAATATTATGAATTTTTGACAGCTTTAAATTTCAGTGGAGTGAACCCAGAAACGAAAGGGACAGCATTTGTAGTGTACGAAGATATATTTGACGCTAAGAATGCTTGTGACCACTTGTCAGGGTTTAACGTGTGTAACAGATACCTTGTTGTCTTATATTATCAATCTACTAAGGTAATTATTATTAACAGATACCTTGTCTTATATTATCAATCTGCTAAGGTAATTATTATTATTTATATTATCAATCTACTAAGGTTGTTATTATTATCTTTTAAATGCTGTTGATATTTAGCTTTTTTAAAACTTGAGGTCATCACTTTGTCTGCCCGTCCCAGAGAACAGATACGCAATGATCTGTTTTCTAGCTCTAGCTCACCGATTTGTTGGTGTTACGACGTGCATCATACTAGGCCTCCTATGTAACAAAGTTGTTTAAATTGAATTGAATTGAAGAAAATAACATTTGTGATCTGACATTTCAATTAATCCTTTGCTTAACAGAAGACTTTTACCTCAGCTGTACCAGAAAGTAGATGCTGAAAAGAAACAAGCACAGTTGGACGCTGCAAAGAGAAAGTACGGCGTGGACGGTATTGCTAAGTAAAGATAGAGTTATCTACTTTTAATTTAATTTGATGAGCAGGACAATCTAGCCGAGTCAATTATAATTCAGAGACGTTGCTGATTATTCAGGAAATTAAGATGAAAGTAAAAGCTTCGCCATGGCCTACAAGTTTTGATTTTCATGATCCAAATGACATCATACAATATACTGAACGTCTCTGTGAAATACTATATGAGAAGTAAACATTGCTTTAAACTTGACTCGATCTTTCGCCCTAGTACTTTTCTATCTTATTTATGCAATATATAGGTTTATTTAACCGAATTATGTACCTGTCATTGCAAACTTCTTATTTTATTCACCTTGCCCGAATGTCAGAATAATTTGTTTCCTTGATTTAATAATGTATCTTCAAACTTAAAACTCAAATTGTGATAATAAGGATTCGATATTATACGATCAATATTATAATCAAATATCCTCAAATACCCAAATTTACATTTTAGTTACCTTCAATCTTACACTTTAAAAGATACCACAGAGGTTGTACTTTCTCTCCAGTCCTCAGTTTCAAATACCTACAAAATAATGTAACGAAGTGTGTTAAATATATAAAAAGGAGCAAGATGGCGACGAAAGCGTTAGCAAAGTCTCTAGGTCTCGTCTCCAACCCTCTCCTCCAGCGGCAACACCACCCCAGAAAACGAACTCAGCTATTCCAGTACCTCATAGTGCTAGACTTCGAGGCAACATGCTGGAAAGACAAACAAAACCAACCATCCCCCGGGGAGATCATAGAGTTTCCAGCTGTACTGTTAGATTGTAACACCGGTAAAGTAGAGGACACATTCCACCAGTACGTGATGCCTGTGGAGAGCACTACTCTCTCTGACTTCTGTAGAAATCTAACAGGAATATCACAAGAAACTGTCAGCCAATCAGATCCACTTCCCGCTGTCATGAAACTGTTCAGTGACTGGGTAAAGTCAGTGTGTGCTGCTAGAAACATCCTTATAAACTCCACTACCGAGCAACCAGGTAAACATCACGCTACGTTTGTCACATGGAGTGACTGGGATCTAGGAACACAACTACTCTACGAGTGTAAGAGGAAGTCAGTGTTCCGTGCTTCCCACTTTAACGCCTGGATTGACTTACGCTTGGTGTACAGGAAGTACTATAAATCTAAACCTCAGGGATTAAATGGAGCTCTGGAGGAGAGAGGGATGATGTTTGTTGGGAGGGAACACTCCGGTATTGATGATGCAAAGAACACAGCTAGGCTTGTTTTTAAGATGATCTGTGATGGTCACTGTTTCAGAGTAACTAAAACAATCCAGGGTAAACAGGTGATGTCAGTGAAACCTGCTACCATCTCTAAACCGAACACAGTTATCACTAAACCTCCCTGTCCTTTTAAAACCACTATAACTCCTCCTCTTTGTAAGTGTGGAACAGCGTCTACTAGGAAACAGATACTGAATGGGGGGCCGCATCACGGTAGATATTATTTTACTTGTAAGAGCAAGTCTTGTAACTTTTACTCTTGGGAAAGTGTTGTAATTCAACTCAATAAAACTCACACGGAACACAGGGGGATCAGGTACTAAACGGAACACAGTAATGGCTGGTAGATAGAATTTATATCAGGATTAATATTATTATTTTGTTAGGATTAAATCCGATTGAAGTTTCTTAAGTGCCTAATATTTTGTCAATAAAGTGTATTTTATTTGAATTTGCTGTTAAATTTGCTATTGTAAGTTAAATTATACGGCTGACATTACAATTGCTGTATTACTATCAGTTCTTTAGTGATACCTTAAATAACCACGGCTCTTATTTCCGTCCATTTTCTTGTCGGAACTACGAATTATCAGAACTACGAAATATTCAAGATCCGCGACTCATTTATTACATTCTTGTGAACTACATTAATGAAACTGATTTCTGAAGTCAATTACCTAGACTAAGTTAATTACCTAGACCAAGATAAACTTTAAATTTCAAATTATCTTTATCAGTTATCCTATAGGTAGAGATAATGAACTGATTGGAATGTAGAGAATGTGATGGCTGCTGCTGAGCTTAAGAAGTTTACTTCTCTTTTCATCAAAAATCAAGAGCAAGGTAAGTTAGGTACAATACAACAATAGGTTCAATAGGTAGGAACAACGCTAAAACAAGCGCGGGCTGTTACAAACGCCGCTTCAATATTAACATTGTATTGTAAAACAGCTGATATTCCCCTTGTTTTAAAGACTCGTTTTAAATAGAATATTTTAAATATCCCTCATATCTTACTCTCCCTCAAGATCCTGACACAGTAGAATTACTCCCCCTTGAACCTGAACCCTCTTCCTCTGCCACCATGTCAAACGAAGGGGGATCAGGCTACAACTCCTGGATACCTAATGTTTGGAACAATGCGGTCCAGGAGGACCCGTGGATGCCAGCCATGACAAAGCAACAGCGCCTCATGGGTTTCATGGCATTCCTGCTAGGGGGGTGGCTTTGTTTCGGACTCTCCATTATCTACATCCCCTTCATCCTGATAAAAGCTAGAAAATACGTCCTGTTATTCTCTCTAGGAAGTGTGTTTACTCTGGGTAGTTTCTCAATGTTGTGGGGCCCCTGGAACCACCTTGACCCACCTGCTCAAGAGAAACAGACTACCTTTCACTGTCTCCTACTTCTCTACCCTCTTCCTTACTATCTACACTGCTATGGTTATGAAGAGCACTGTATTGACTGTTCTGTGTGCTGCTGCCCAGTTTGTCGCTCTTATGTGGTACGTGTTTAGTTATGTACCTGGAGGTGTCACTGGACTTAAGTTCTTTACTAAGTTATTTTCTAGAGCTGTGCTGAAGAAGGCTCAAAGTACCTTGCCTATATAGATTACAGATCAGAGTAAAATTAAGTTTGTTTTCATCATAGGAGCATGCTGTGGTTTAACTTGCATGTTTGATAGGGGTTGACTGTTGAGACATAAGTTTATCAAATATATTGCATGATTGTTGTTTAAACATAATTTAATTTTGGTAATAAATTATTTGACTGTACTACTAAACTGTTAACCCCAGTGACATAAATTTAAAAAGGGACTAGGAATCCAGTCTGGAAAGAAAAAACGGCTACCATATATTTTTAAAACGACTACCATAAATTTTTCGGCCGCTCCGCGGCCGGATAACGATTTCATTTTACTTTGCTAGTTATATTACAGAGGTTTAGTTATTCATTAGTATAGTTATTAATTCATTAGTATAGTTATTCATAATTGCCAAAAGATTGTGAAAGAATTCCTTTCCGGGGCTCGAACTCGCGATCTGCTAGTGTAGTCCTGACGGATTATCCAACTAAGCTACGATTCCATGTACGCTATTGTAATATTTACATATAGATATTCGCGCGTTCCTGCAACTACCATACTACCATACTACCAAACAGTCCATACTACCATACTGGTAGTAGGAAAATCTTGGATCCTGACAGGGATATCTTGGATTATTTGGTAACGCGCAAGTTAAGCGCAAGAACTAGGAATCTGCTGGGAATCTGGCATTTGCGCTCGAATCGAACATCTTCTCGGATAAATATAGAATTAAAGTACAGTGCGCGGCGTTACAGTGTGTAACAACCGAGACCGACTATTTAAAGTTGATTTAATAATTTTGTTGACAAAAATTAGTCGGCGTGGCTATGGAAATTAATATGGCTAGGAATTAGATTCTTAGATTCCTCACTTTATGTCACTGGGCTGTTAACGTTGCGCTAATGACGATTAATTTCGTCTTAACACAGTATAATATAATCAGTTTTAGTTAACTAAATTTGTGATTGTTTTGCACGCTGTTTTGAAGTTTTACATATAAATAATAGAAGTGATTGTACATTGCAATTGTATATTTCATATCAGAAGAATCTATATTCCAAAATTTACTTTGTAGTTCATTGTCCATAATTAAATATCCAATATCATTTTAGTCAAACTTCATTATTGAAATTTAAACGTTGTACGATTTTGAAAAAAATATGAAAAATTGTCTGATCGTTTTATCTGCTATTTCATTTTACCCTAATAAAGTTGATTCACTATAATGGGTATAATTCACTATTATAATTCGAAAGATTATTTCTGTATGTACGACCGCCCACGTGCAAATTATATGAGAAATAGGAAGTTAGGTAAAAACCAAAAGGTTGCATAGCAACGGTGTTGTAATGCGCACGTGCACGTGCAAAGATTTTTGAAACGGCATTTTGATCGGTTGTGTGGTAATTTAAAGTGTCTCACATTTAAATCGGCTGTATCTTCTGTTGGGATGAATATTTTTTTGATGCGATTAAAACTTTCTTTCGAAAGAACACTATTAGCTTCATCCCTGTTACCACGGGCTTTTTAGTTCACTATAATTCACTAATCACTATAATTCACTATAGATAAGAGATCTGAGGCTGATAAAATGACTACAAAACAACCCCTCTTCAACCTAGACAAAGATAAAATAGACGAGCTGTATAAACATGGAGCATTCCTTATTGTTGATGATATGCCTCAAGGTACTGGCAGTTAACATTTCCTAATCTGTCTTATCACGTGATATACTTCTTGAGATAACGACTGTTCTGGAAAATTCCGATATTGTTATTGTAGTTAACTTAATAGCAAGAACCTACATTTTACATTTCTAAGTGGCCAATTTTCTACTGTAAATACTATATTTTAAATAATCCCAGAGAATACGTGTGATTCCACTGTAAGACTACAACATATAACAACAGGTACAGAGTTTGGGGTGGACTACGCTAGCTGGTCAATAGGACCCAAGTTCAGGGGCCTCAAGATGATACCACCAGGCCTACACTTCATATTCTACAGTGCTGTCAGTAAGGAGGGGACTGTGGCTCCTAGAACGGGATTCTTTCACTGTTTTAAAGAGAAAGAGGTAGGTTCCAAATCGTCTTCCAGAGGTAAACTGTGTGCATTGTCCTACATAATGTTCTGTAGTAATACTAAATTATTTTTAATTCAGATCGTGGTTAAAAGATACGACACTCTACAAGAGACAATACTAGATAGTGATACCCAGTACCAACCCAAATGTATTGATACAATGTTAGCTCCATATCCTTACCAGCACTATCAGAGGTTCGTTATCTTTAAGGGTCCTTGTGTGACGTCATAACACGTGGTGTGACGTCATAACACATGATGTGACGTCATAACACGTGGTGTGACGTCATTACCCAAATGTATTGATACAATGTTAGCTCCATTATATCCTTACCAGCACTATCAGAGGTTCGTTATCTTTAAGGGTCCTTGTGTGACGTCATAACACGTGGTGTGGCGTCATAACACGTGGTGTGACGTTATAACACGTGGTGTGACGTCATAACACGTGGTGTGACGTCATAACACGTGGTGTGACGTCATTACCCAAATGTATTGATACAATGTTAGCTCCATATCCTTACCAGCACTATCAGAGGTTTGTTATCTTTAAGGGTCCTTGGTTTACACTTAACCTAATACTTATAGAATTATATTCTTAACAGCTGACCATGTTAGACATATTTTAACATGTATTAGACGTTAAGGTGGACCTCCATTATATTTTTTATGGAAATATGGTATATTACTCACATTAAGTGTGTCCATCACAAGAATCCATTCAATAAAGCACTTAAACACGGGGGCTGTATGTTATACTGTGTACACTGTACAGCATACTGTAAGAGCTTTAATGACAATGTGCAGTTTATAGACGTTAGCCGTCAAGGTGGACGTACCCTCCATGTCGTCAATTTTAAGGTAGAGCGGGTGCCTCACAACCATAGTAACCATAGTAACTATAGTAACCATAGTAACTATAGTAACCATAGTAACTATAGTAACCATAGTAACTATAGTAACTATAGTAACCATAGTAACCAAGTAAGATAACACATGTATTAATGTTATTGTATCAGATGGTGCAGTCTAACAACCCACGTGACCTCGACAACAGTAACACGTGTGCAGCCCCAATGTAAACTGATACAAGCTGCCACGCCCCTGCTTACCAATCCGGACGCCGCGCAGGATGTTGCACGTGCTACCTCGGTGGAGGATAAACTGGATGCTAATTTTATACAGGATGATTCACAGATCATGAGGTACAAACTTTTAATTTATGTGTTCTTAGGAATATTTTGGCAGTTTAAATATTGTAAAGAAGTATGTAACTTAATATGTAACTCTTTGTTACATGCACATTACATTATATATTATAAACCTGAGCGCAAGGGGCTCTTAAACTAATATTTGCTTTTTAATGACTTTTGTACCGCAGTATATTCATTGTACAATAGTTTTAAGTAACTAGTTAGTAACTTTGAGCTTCTTTGCCAAGTTTCTTGTAATATTGTATCTTGTTAAGGTTCAGTAAGGTTGATAGAAAGAGTGCTACAGCTGGATTTAGTGCAGCCCAGCTTACACAGTTCTACATGGATACTACTTCGTCACTTAACAGTTAGTTACTAACATGAATACTTAGCAATGATTGGTTGATATCAATTATACAGTTCTATTAGTTCTGTAGTTATCTTGAGTAGTGGTGTACTACTTAGCTGATTGATTATTGTTATCATTTTGCTATAGATAAACAATATTTGCAGAGTGTAACGTATGCAATACATACATTACATTTTTTTTCTGTGGGTACCTAGCCTCTTATATCTCTGTTAAAAGAGATGGCTGAAAATATATCATACAATAAAACACCATTTTGATAACAATTTGAAACTACGATAGTCTACTGAATAACAAGCTGTTTCAAAAAGCTTTACTGCAGGTCTAATCGAACATTCCGGTTCAGAAGAAGAATTATTAGGAGAACTTCAGGTGTCCTTCATAGTATTCCTGCTAGGTCACGTGTACTCTGCCTTCGACCAATGGAAACGTCTCGTGGACACAATCTGTCGCGCCCAACAAAGTCTCTCTGAGCGCCCAAACTTCTACAAGGCATTCATCAGAACCCTGCACTATCACCTAAAGGAGACACCAAGTGACTTCTTTGTGGACATTGTGTCTCGTAACAACTTCCTGGTTACCACACTGAAGCTGTTGTTCGAGGGGCTGAGGGAAGAGGAGGGGGTCAGTGGTGAGCTGAGAACCCGAGGGGACAAGTTCAGAGCTCATTTGGAGAATTATTATACTTGGGATTTTAATTATTGCGAGGATGATGATCCTGTTGTAGTTGAAATGTTTGAGCCGGGATAATAATTACAACACCTGAAGTTGTTATGAATCTTATTAAGTTAGTTTAACAGATACAGTTAGAAGAAACTGGCATTTTTAAGTAGCATTTATTATGTAATATTTATTGATTAATTTATTCTATCCGAATTTTATACTACACCAAATTTTGTGTTTTATCAATCTAACTAACAGTTAGATAGCGGGTATATAATTATTGTAATTATTTTGAGATATTGAAGTTTAAATGTTCAAACAATATTGGGTTTTTCAAACTTTTCAAACTTTTTCTATCACTTTATAACTGAAGTCATCTTCTTTAGGCTATGTCAAATGTCACAGCTAAGTCAATACAGAACATCACCTTCAACCAAACAAACACATGTTTCGCGGTTGCCATGGAGACAGGCTACAGAGTTTACAACTTAGAGCCGCTAGCAGAGCTGACTCAGGGTTCATTTGAAGATTTTGGGTCAGTGCGGATTGTTGAAATGTTGCACCGCAGTAACTTTATAGCACTAGTTGGTGGTGGTTATCAGAGTAAATTCAGCGCTAAAATGGTCCGGATATGGGACGATAGGGAAAAGACATTTATTTTAGAGTTCTCGTTTGATTCACTGATTAGAGCTGTGAAGATGAGACGAGATAAGCTGATAGTTGTGCTGACCAACAAGATTTATGTATTCAGTTTTCCTGACGACCCCAAACACTTGCAAACAATAGAGACACGCAGCAATGCGCGCGGGCTGTGCCAACTTTGTCCTAGTCTCAGTAACTCTCTGATGATATTCCCTGGCACGCGCGCTGGCAGTCTACAGCTATTTGACGTGTCCACTGCGGGGGCTGCAGTTGGTGCTACTTCTACTCCTCCTACTATAAACGCTCACAGAACAGACTTACAATGTATTGCAATCAATCACAGCGGAGGACTGGCAGCAACTGCAAGTGGTAAAGGGACACTGATACGCGTGTTCGATCTGAAAACCAGGCTACTTGTCATTGAGTTGAGGCGCGGAACTGATACCGCTACTGTTCAGAGCATTACTTTTAACGAGGACAGTTCTTATCTCTGCGCTAGCAGTGATAAGGGCACAGTTCACATTTTTGCTATCAAGAATCCCGAGTTGAACAAGAGGTTAACTGTTGCGAATGTTGGGTATCTGGGGCGCTACGCTGGTTCCCAGTGGGGTATGACTTCCTTTGCGCTGCGTTCTGAGTGCCCGTGTATCTGCGTGTTTGCGCCACCTGGCTGTACGCCAGGCACTGCTGTGAGAAATGCGGTGATAGCGCTTTGTTTTGATGGCACATATCACAAGTATGTGTTCACGGCTGATGGAAACTGTAATCGTGAGTCGTACAATGTCTTTCTAGACGTGACACAGGATTTGGAGATTTGAATGGAGAGTTGTTTAATTCATTAAAATATCTTCATTCTTTAAATTTGCTAAGAAATACTAAGTATTTGTTGTTCTTACTAATTTCAAATGTTCTTTCATGATTTAATTTTCCGATTGTACATTTTGTCAATAATGTTTGCATCCATGCGATAGTTTCAGTTCTGCATTGATGATAGTGCCAAGGTTTGTTTCCAAAACTATAGTTAATGATTTTGTTATGATTTGTTTTGTTAACGATTTTTTATATATTGACTCAAAGATGAAAGATTTTGTTATCTTGATTCTCCAGAATTTAAACTGTCTTGATCTTCTTCTTGGTTACTTCTCTCGAAAATGAAAATGAACTGCGTCATCGAAAAACAATTCTATTGAAGAGCAAAATTAGATTACCTTACTCGGGATTATTACGACGGGTTTATTAACGACCGGTTAAAATATGGTTCGGGAAAAATATGGCGAAATTGCTCAAAACCCACCACATTTTCCCGGTCGCCATTTTACCGGTGTCCAACCTTTCAATTTTAGATTCAAAAATTTTGTCTCAGATGTAAATTTCCTTATTAGAGATAGGCAAGTTTAGAAATTTTCGCATTGCTCACACTTGTGAAGCAAGTCGAATTATCAATAATTGTTGAAAGTAGACAGAAATAATGACTCGTGGTTAATCAAACTAGATAGAAAATAATTTTTAACATTAGAAGCGTAACAACCAGATCGATATTAAGATAAAGGGAGAGCTGTTTAGTCTTCCAATAAGTTGTAATCATCTTCTTTATCTTCATCTGGATCATCCCTTTCATCATCCCCCCTTTTCTGAGCCTGGAACTCGTAATCATATGCCGCTCTTAGGAGTACCTTCATTTTGTCAGCTAAAGGTGCGACAAAATGAAGAAATTAAAAATTGGCCGATTTAAATCAACTTTGACAATAAGGATAAATGACAAGAATTGGGCAAAAAGGTGAATTCTTTGCAATTTTAGCCAAATGAAGTCGAAAAACCTACAACAAGTGTCCCAATAGTCTTCTTTAGTGAATATAAGACAACGATTAAAATATGAGCACCCATACCCCTTGGGAACCCTAAAAGCTGAGTCGGCGGGTTTATTAACGACCGGTGAAAATGTGGTTCGGGAAAAATATGGCGAAATTACCCTAAACCCGCCACTTTATCCCGGTCATAATAATCCCGAGTAAGGTATTTAATTACTATTCTGTAACCTGTATAGTGTATACTGGTGGTCATTGTGTTTCTGGTGGTCATTGTGTTTCATCTAATACTTTCAATTAGTAATTTTTCTCGATAATTTAAACTAATATATGGAAATATATTATTGGCGGAGGACTATGCTGTAACATCCTGATCGAGTAGGTAATACCTGGTACAACACTCAACACACATTTACCTTTAGGATGAGCTACGATCAGTTGTGCCAGAAGATTGGCAGTGCGATCTTCAAAATTGGCAGCAATGGTGAGTACTTCTCCAACACTTCAGTTTATCTTTCTTCTTTAATTTCTTACAGTTCCAAGAATTAGTAATCAATCAGCCGCACAGTTTAAAAACCATCCCTAATTGCAGATAATTAGTAATTAATCAGCCGCACAGTGTAAATACACACTATCCCTAATTGCAGATAATTGCGCATCAAAAATACAATAATTGCCAGCTTTATCCCCCGGATTATTATGTCTGATAACTGTGGTCACACTTGTAACAGCTCAGTGACACCAGTATGTTTCAGTAACTGCAATGCAGAAGTTGGTAGTACAGCTGGGTACACCTAGTGAAACACCCAACGTTAAGAAGCAGCTAGACAGCAAGAGATCAGACGTACAGAGAAGTATTGAGACTACAGGTGACATGTTCAGGGAGGCTACAGATCAATGTAAAGTAGGCTCACAACAAGAACAGGTTAGAACCATATCTAACATATATGTAATGTGTAGTAGTAGTTAGTAGTTAGTAGTTAGTAGTTAGTAGTTAGTAGTTAGTAGTTAGTAGTTAGTAGTTAGTAGTAGTAGTAGTAGTTAGTAGTTAGTAGTAGTAGTAGTAGTTAGTAGTTAGTAGTTAGTAGTTAGTAGTTAGTAGTAGTAGTTAGTAGTTAGTAGTAGTAGTAGTAGTAGTAGTAGTAGTAGTAGTAGTAGTAGTAGTAGTAGTAGTTAGTAGTAGTAGTTAGTAGTTAGTAGTTAGTAGTTAGTAGTTAGTAGTTAGTAGTTAGTAGTAGTAGTAGTAGTAGTAGTAGTAGTAGTAGTAGTAGTAGTAGTTAGTAGTTAGTAGTTAGTAGTTAGTAGTTAGTGTTAGTAGTTAGTAGTTAGTAGTTAGTAGTAGTAGTTAGTAGTAGTAGTAGTAGTAGTAGTAGTAGTAGTAGTAGTAGTAGTAGTAGTAGTAGTAGTAGTAATAGTAGTAGTATTTGTAGTAGTATTTGTAGTAGTAGTAGTAGTAGTAATAGTAGTTAGTAGTAGTAGTTAGTATTAAAGTGCATGTGTTTGTCTTTGATAATACGAATAAAGCTTTCGTTTTTATTGAGATTTTAAGCTTTCCGATCCCTAGAATATTGTATTATATATATTAGTAAATATACGTTCTATTTCCCTAGAAATCCCGGAAGATACAAGTGGAACGATTGAAACAACAATTCAGCGAAGCTATTCAGAAATTCAAGAAATATCAATTGGTACGGAACTCGCGCTTCTATTTAAATATTTAGTTTTTCATTTATATTTTCAGGTTTACCTATTTCTCTGATGAAACTGACCACTTTGTATATTCCATAACACTTGTTAAAATACAGTATTATATTTGATAATTGCACAACTGTTTCACAGCTAGAAGCAGACAAGGAGCGAGCAGCAGTGTCGAGGATGAGATCCAGAACTACTTCTCTTCGTAACGAGATGTCAAAACAACCTAATGTGGACACGGCCTATGCTGATAATGATAGTCTTATGGACGATGATTCAAGGTGAGTTGGAGGAAGAGATAATCAGATTATCATAATATCATCGATAATTACTATTGTTCAGAACATTCTTCATTTTCTGGCCAGATTCCTCCAGTGTAATGTGTAGGATCATATCATGAGCTTTCTAAGGTAGCAATAAAAGAGACAAAACAGAACTCATTGCTTTATACAATGTGTCACATGCTTTTCTTAATGAGTAAATCGTGACGCAATCTTTCATCTGTAATGAGAGTTTTATCTTTAGATTCGGTCACATGTTCAATCGTGCATTTTGTAATACGCGACGACATTTTTGGACTAAAAGTTTATGTAACGTAACATTACAAATTGTCACAGTGCCGCGCGCGCGCGCGCGTGTTTAAGATTCTAACTCATAATCTGCACATCATTTCTGTTCGTGAATCACGAGGTTTAACCATATATAATTGTTCAGGCAGCAAAATCTGTCACAGTTGCAAGAATTCGCTGATGATCTGGAAACAACTACAGCTTTGATTACAGAGAGGGAAGAAGCCATTCGAAGACTAGAGGTAACTAAATGTGATACTGAGCAGCCCAATTTATTGGGAAATAAAACCAACAAGCTAATTTTAGTTGAAGTAACGTTTTGGCATTGCTACGACTCTTTTTCCAAGAAAACGACATTACTTATCTCACAATAGTTTTACTTCAGACAGACATGGTAACAGTGAACGAGATCTTCAGGGAGATTGGAACTATGGTACACGAGCAGGGTGACATGATCGGTTCGTAAGATATATTTTTGCCAAAACCACTTATATTTCCTTTGAGTAGTTTGTTAAAAGTTAATGAAAAGCTGTTTGTATCTCATTGGATCTCATCATAAGGACACTTTCATTAAGTTTTGGCCCAATGACATTTGAATCGCATAGGCTGAATATTATAGTAGTACTAAAGTATTTCTGAACCATATTCGTGATTACTAGGGGGGTCACAGCACCAAATAATTCGATTTTAAATTTGGCAAAAGAGTTTTATTTGGTGTAAGGGTACTTTAAGCGTTATTTTGAGTAATTTAAGCGTTATTTGGTGTTATTTGGTGTTTTTATTTCAACTATTATTATCGAGCATTGTAATGAAAAAACATAATTTCAGATAACATCGAGCACAACGTTGAAGTAGCAAGAGACCGTGTGGATGACGGTGTTGTACAACTCGAAAAAGCTTCTACCTACCAAAATAAATATCGAAAGAAAGTCTTTGTGTTTCTTGCTATTCTAATCGTGTTCGGACTTGTACTGGGTATCATAATATGGCTCACGACCAGGAAAAAGAATTAAGATAAGCGAGATCTGCTTTTATTTGTTACTGCGAACTGAAAAAATGTACTGAAATATTTCAACTGAAATGTCAGAGATTTGAAAGTTGAATTTGTTTATATTTGTGTTATGATTCCAGAATATGTATTAAATGTACAAATCTGCCCCTTGTTTACAAGACGGATAATCTCATGATGATATTTAAAATTTTTTGTACTTTTTGGAGATTTTTTCTAGACTCCCCATCATTACCAACTAGCATAATGATGATCACAACCTTGATAATGGTGGCGTTGTTTGTATTGAAAGCTAAGTTTCAATACTGTACAAGCTTGATATGAAGAATATGCGTGCTATTTACTATTTAGGGGTGCATTCCTACACCCCTGCGTGCTATGTGCATTGGTTAACGTTTTTCCGGATATGAAATAATTTCTAGAACTGAATTTGACATATTATTAATATTAGACTTTCAAAAAATGTTAACTTCATTGTTTGCCATACAATCACGTTATATTATTGTCAATTGAGATTTGTAAAAACCAAAAATCGATATCAATGTTTTGTCTTTTAATCAAATTTTCGTATCACTGCTGTTAAAAACGAGAAACATTCGTTGCCTTTTATCGTGAGATATAATTTTAATTTATGCACGTTTCGTTAGTTAATTTATATATCATTGTAACCATGTGAATTGTAACTGATGAGCTTAATATATAGACTGCTGAGACTGCTGAGCAGCGGCACTTAGTCCAAGGAAGCACCAGTCAGGACGTTGAATAAACAAATAAATTAAACCATCTATCTTGGAATATAATTATCATAAGTATTACATTAAAACACGTTGATATGTTTATAATATTTCTAAACATTTGTGACATTCACTTCGTCCTCTTATTCCCAAACCTTCTATGATGATTATGATATAATTCAGTGATTTTCGAAATTCCACATTGTACATATTAATATATTATGTACCATGTAGAATTTCGAAAATCACTGAATACAAACATCCACATGCAAACTATTAAGAGTAATCACTAATCGATGAACTAAAACAATGAAAAGCATTCATCCCAACTGATATGCGAGGTATCATCTCTTGTTGATAAAAATTAGCCACATATGTCGTTGATAAGAATTGGATTTCCATCGTTACACTCGAACACGAGACAACCGTCGATGGTCGTCTTTTCTGAAGAAATAAAAACATGCATGAACTGTTAAAGTCAAAGCTCCATTGTAGACGTGGTTAATTATCAATTATAGTGGGGATGTGTAGGGTGTGGGTAAAATAAAGATTCGGATCCACTTTACCACTCGATTGAGAGGCAGGATTTTAATCAATCGAGGATTTGTCAGCTTATGAATTATAGTATAACATTGGGACAAATATTAACTTTTTGTCACAAAATTTTGACGAACGATCAAGGGAGCAAATACAATGGTAAGTTAAGGAATTGTTAGGCATGTGAGAACTAGCAAGTGAGATTGAGAACTAACGTCCATCCGTGAGACTAATGTTGCTGAAGAAGCATCCCTTTCTGCAGGAGTTTCCAGAGGCACATACAATTTTACCGTCTCTGCAAACACACTGATTGCAGTTCTCGTCCTTGTAGTAATCTCCGTTTTCCACTTCTTCTCCTTTATCTAAAGTTCATTCAAGTCAGTATAACTGATAACGAAAAACGGGGACAGTGGAAAATATTGCCTGGCAAGCCAATCCCAATGCGCGGCGCTCTTTTCGAGTTTCTAGCAAGCTAGGTAATGGGAAATATAATTCAGTTCAGTGATTGATACCCCCCTCCTCCTGTTTGACTTACTATCGAAGCAGGAACAGATCTTCTTCGTACAGCTGATGTTATCATTTCCTTCACAGGTGCAAGTGTTACAGGCACGTTTAAAGGTTTCGTTTTTCTTGATTGTCATTCCCATGTCAACGTTACAGCTATCTGGACACTGAATATGATTAAAGGTAACTACTACTAGCCGATAACAACAATTAAACTGATTTACATTTTAGTAAACGTAATAGTGGGAAGATGATTCGTTTTTATCAATAATCATCACCTTGAAAACTCAATATCCAGTATTTACCTGTTTCTCATCACAAATGATAACCCCGTTGTCACATTGGCATGTGTTGCAGCCAGCCAGCCAACTGGACCCATGTTCATGTTCAGTTCCCTGATAGTGACAGTTAGCCGGACACACCAGCTCTGCTGGGCACTTTATCTTACCTGACGAGAGAGATTTAAAGAGCTTAAATCGTACCATTTGGTTGATAGTACATACAGTTACACTGGAGGGGGGTTCTCTACACTTGTTACACTATACATTTAATAAAAGGCAAAAGTGTAGTGTAAATTTGCCTAAAAAAGTGTAAAAAGGTGACATTTTTTTCTCGCCAAAGTTATATGTTATACCCCTGTTTTGCCTTTGGAAGTGTACTATGTCACTATGTGAAGACTGATGAGAAAATAATAGGAAAAAAGATGTTGAGAAGATAATTTGGTTAAGTTTAATTTAAGGTGTAAAAAGTGTAATTTAGTGTACCTTTTTTACTACACCATACAACAAAAAAGGCAAACGTATAGTGTAGAAAAGTGTAGTGAACCAAGTTGCTTCGACGTTAATATTTAAAACAATTATTGCACAAATATCACCCATAAAGGGCCCCAAACTTCCCCTGAATATTTACTGTAATTTAATAATTAGTTTTTTTTATGAAAGGAAACTTTACTAACCTGACTGACAGACACACTCAGTGCAAGAGAAAATAACTGTTTCTCCTGAGCGGTAGTAATTCCCATCATCTGCACTACACCCAGCAAGTGATGCACTCTGTACCGCACTTACAGCTGCAAGGACAACAAAAACACACAACATAATCTTTGCGAAAACTCGACGGTACTGTTATATCAGTGGACACGAGGCTATCTCTAGTTACTATTATAAAACTGTGTAACAGACTTGCTAAGTACGTTTATAAAGTGGTATACGGTGGGTGGTGACCTTGATTGAAGCCCCTAGTATTAAATTCTCAGGGACACAGCTCCCAATGTTGTGCCAGCTGGGGCGGTACTACAACGCATCACGTGATTAGAGCTGAAATGTACTATCTACTGCTGGTACTTACCCAACTCTTAAACTAAATCCTTATGGCTCTTTTTGGGTAATTTAATGTTACCATAAATGAATAAACATATGTTTAAAATAAGACGTATAATAATAATATTAATGGCTTTGAAGTGTCAACTCCACGTTTCTTCTGACTTCTCTAGACATATGAACACATTAAAAACTGAGGTTCTTTATACAAAGCCTCACGAGATAATGTGATGCTATGTATCTCAGGCACTGAGCACTCTACTCTCTAAGTCTAGTTTCTATACTCGAGCAGCAGCAAGGTCATTATTGTGTATCCTACTGGACTGCGTGTCATTGCGCTTTATCTGTGTTTATGAACACAAAAGCATACGGTCTCCAGGTGTAATACTAATAGTTTACTGACTTATTGGTTGCGGGTGAGAAATTCAGTCAAAACTGTAAAATTTCAGTCCTGGAAATTTCATTTTCAAAAACTGAAAAAGAGACAATATAATTTTTCAATTTTCTTCGGGATTTTGACTTCCAGTACCTCAATTTAATTTCATGCCATTCTCAATTAATTGACTAATTGGTCCGAGGGCAAAAAGTCCATCTAATCTGTCAAATTTGTGTTTGGAAATTTTCATATTCAATATTTGAAAATGGGACAGAAATTGGAAAATATGAAATTTGTTTTGTTTATTACGGGTATTTGCCTCACAGAATGGCCAAAAAAAAGGAAGGTTTCTCTAAGTCACAAAACACACTTTATTCCAGTTTTTATCTCATAAGAAGCTAAGTTGACACTCATATTTTTCTTCCCGGGGGGTTCATTTAATCTCATAACCATTTTTTCTTTGAGAAAAATTGGCCGGAAAATCTTCCTCCAAAAAAACATGCCTCACAGAATGGCCAAATCTAAATTTCTATAATTTTGTTGATGGAGATACTTTTTCAATTTCTATCACCACACGTTCTTAGAAAACCTATTAAGGAATGGGGTAATAACCTAAAACTCACGAAAAAACTGAGCTGTGAAAAATTATTTCACAAAAAAGAAAAAATGCCTGACAAAATGGCAAAAAAAAAAGAAAACGAGAAAATTTTATTTTTCTAAAACCTTTGGCTCTTGTTTCAGGCATGCTGCTGGTATTAATATGCCTTGTTCACCATATAGGGAAAATTATTTAGGAGGCATGAAATAAAACTAATATTGCCTTACAAAATATGGTACCATTGTTGTGCGTTTTTCATTTTTTGTTCATTGTTTTAACCTATTGTGTAACACCATCTGTTATGTATAAAATTGTGATTTACTATTTATTAAAAGATGAGTTTGAAGTTTGCCTTTGGTGCATATTTTGCATTTGCGGGCGTTTAGCATTTAAATGTAAGTCCTAATTGAACAAGTTCGTTTTGTTTGTGAATATATTCTGTTAAATCATCGTTCTGTCATGACTGGTGAAAGTTGTCTACCTCAAATCCATAGTTAAAATTGAACTAATTTTGTGAGGATTTGGCCTTTGTGAGAGATGACCATTTTAGCAAATATTTGGTTTTCTTATGAACAATGGTCGTTTTGTTAGATGACATAATTTTAACAATATTGTTATATGGGCAGATTTAAATTTAATTAGTTTCAAAAATTAATTCTTCGGCCAAATTAGCTAAAAAACAGTCATATTGTATGCGGCTGGTCTTACGTTCACTCGAATGTTGCGCACTGCCTTTTTTCAATGATACAAACACGTTTATAAATTAGATTACAAATATTTACAATTTGCCCATTCTGTACTACTTTTGTACATTTACCTAGTCTGTAATGTTGTATACGTGGTATGACCCCACGCGCCCCTATAGTGGCGTGCTCTCGATGTCAGGATCGTAGTATAGTGAACAATGACCGCGTGGTCGCACGTGATACATTTAGAAGGTTCTAACATTTGGACGTTGTATTGCTTATTCAACCAAAGAGGTGTCTGCATCAACACCACAAATTAACATAGAAAAGCTTAAACAATTCCCATCAATTCCATTTTGACTTGCACTTTTCTCTATCTTTTTACAGTTCTTGGCGGGGACGGCTTGTTTCACAGCGAGTGCCCACTGGCTTCACTAACTGTATTAAACAAGTATAACGAAATTGGTCGGTTTAAATCGGACGCGGGGCGAGCTGGATCGTCGACTTTATTAATTAGTGAACAGATTTTTACGAGTTTATACGTTTTAAGTGAAATATCTGTCATACTGTTTACCGTCGACGAGTCGACTAGTGCCGCTCCCTGGTTGGTTGTACTAACGTTGAGTTTTAGACCGCGCGTACAGGCGGGGCTCCTGATCGTGCGCCGTGGGTGTCAACAACGTATACAATTTTATCAAAAAAAGATTGAGGTTTACATCTGTATCAAGGGTCATGTAATTTGCTAAACGACCAAATTCGCACTCAAACACTATAGATTTAAAGTGTTCTGTTACTTTGTAATGTATAAATTTGTTTCCTTGGTGATAGTATTTCAATTAGCTAAGTGAACTAATGCGCCTATTCATTGTGTACTTCATTGTTCCGCTAATATTCACATTATTTTAAACCAAATAACTCGAATCTGCGCGCGATAAGAAATTGATTTTGACAGCCTGTGTGAGCCAATGCGTTACTGGTGCGCGCGCTCAGCACCAATTGTCTTCTCGCAACTTGTACGGGTTCCTCGGTCTATATGTTCTTACCGAAGTAGAGCGGCGCGCTTCATTCTCGAAATTGATTATGTTTGCGATGGCTAAGTGTACAAGTAGCGCGCGCCGGGTCGTTCATAACATGTGTCACCGCAATCGCGAGATCGGCGAAGGAATTGCGGTGCGACTGCGATAATTGAATCGTCTGTAGCGGACTGTACATAGTCAACCTTAGATTTTACCGGTTGTACGGTGAGGTACATTGGTTCGACTTTTTGTGTTTTGATTTCGATATAGGATACTTTGCTAACGTCAACTGGACTGTATATATTACAATTTTACTTGAGACGTTTCGCTTATTCTAGTTCTTTCGCTATTGGGGATTATTTAATTGGTGACCCCACTTTCGCTTATTACCCTTGTGTTAGCCTTATCTAAATATACTTAGTTGAGGTTACAAATACCGGCCGGCCCAGCTCTAGACGTCGAACGAGATAGAACTAAATATTTTACAAAGTTACACCACGTTCAACTTTTGGTTTGTTACATCAGTTGCTACTGTCAGTATGCCCACAAATAGGATAGATGGTTTCTTCCGCCATCGCGGGCGTGTACGGCATTCCTGGGGGATCCGAGTAATATTTATTATAGGATGGTTTACGTGGTAATGAGGGGAGGGGTCTCAAGAAGCTTTGGCACGAGTGGTGGAAAGTAAGACATCAGTTAACACGTTTCCTGAGTTCAGCTGGTAACCTTTTTCACAATCAGCGCTTGGATGCGATTGTGGAATTGAAATTTAGTGGACATCTGTCAAATATGTCATCGGGTTGGTTAGCTTGAATGATTGCCATCTATTTTGCTATTGCGCTTTCCACCCGTCGGACTGATCTGGTGTGTGATGTGGTAAATTAGAGTTCCTAAGGCACAGTCACCTAAAGTATTACTGTTGTGAGTGTCATTTGGGCACATATTTTTGATTTTGTTTCATCAATGTGAGCGAATACTAAGTAAATAGTTCATCATTTTGATGAATCATACAGGATACAATAGAATCGTAGCAGGTATCTACAAAAAATAAAAACCGCGTATAAATTTATTATAAAACACAAAAACCATATCTATACACAATTCCAGTTCTGTCCCCTTTAAAAGTGTTATGTCATGATCTGCGGTACAAATGTTAATTTTGAATTTGACGAGTTCAAAATTGTATAAAGATAAAGGTTTGATATGTCATATTATCGTCCATAAAAATAAATTTAAAAGTAAAACATCAAATAAATTATATAAATTAAAGAGTAATAAAAATATTAGTTCTTCTGTAATCGTCTCTAAAAACAGAACGCCATCATTCATTTTAACTTCGCCTCTCTAACCTTTGTTCGGCAAACTGTAAAGTTAATCTAACGAAACACAATCTCAGTTCGCTATCCTAAACCTATCGAGTCTGTGTGCTCGAATAACTTAATCTTCAGCTCAAGCTCGTGTCATTATGTCACGCCACAAACGTGATGTCATCACTCTATCACGTGATGTCTTCATTGCAGCGTCATGCACTTCACCATTTCGTCGAGGTAAGTCTGTACGACATTGAGGGCAGCAGAGAGAGCGCTGGCTCCGAAACCGTGAGTCAGGAGCTCAAAAGTCATGAGCTGAGGACAGGGCACGTTGTGGTGTCCGCTAACCCCTTGTGTGTTCATTATCTCGTTATTCTTAACCACGTTCATCTCCATCAGCTCTTGTAGGTCAGTTATCATCTGTCTGAAGAATAAGGAGGTTAGTTTCTTATTTTAATAAAAAAACTTAAAACTAAATATTACAGTGCAATTAATCTGGTAAATTAAGTAATTTAATTGATCAATTAAACGATTAACTTATAAAATTCTTACTTTGTGTTCATGACGCGCTGCAAGTGCTGTTCCTGAGGTATGTGGTATCGATGAGAGTCGTTGATCACCGCTGCTTTGGCCAGTTCTCGACAGGGGAAAAATTTCTCACAGAGGGTATTGAAATCGTTTGCTAGTTGGGCAGACTCTCCTGAAAAAATAAGGGATAAGTAAAATGTCGTCACGATAATCATGTGCGTCATTACTGCGCTCGTTTTACTTCCGATATTAATTAAGGGGAATTTTTGAATCGGTGACGTCACTGCATAACGAATCAAGGTATTTGGATAACGTCATGTGACTGACGTATTCCCAGACCCGATTTGTGTCCTATTAGTCACCACTTGCAGCTGTTTATACTGAGACCGGAAATCACGTCACGTGATAGACACAGAGTTCCTCTGATTGGCTAAGACTCATTTTGACGTGACATTGTGATTGGCAAATTGGTACAACTCCTACTCTAACACAGCACTGTATCGGACACCTTGCAAGGTGGGCCATTATACGATTACGTCATATTTAGGTAATTAAAATCAGACTTGTAGTGTAATTGGACATGATATAGTCCAATATAGTGTAAGAATGACATAATTGGTCTAAAACAGTTGATATAGTGATGTAGGTATGCTCCTAGGGAGTAATCCAGGCTACCACTGCAATTCTACAAGGGCCTTTCTACCCATAAATATCACAATTATCATTATCATATTCTTACATATTCTCTGAAAGATCATGAGTATTGATGTTCATTAAACAGCTATCACATTCTAATTAGATCTCTCATCCGGGCAAAGATCAAATCGGGCTGTAAAACTGCAACAGTAATATACGGGGTGTTTTATTACAGTAAAATCAATATTTTATACTCGCATTAATGCAAGGACGTATATATAAAAGTTCAGATTAGATTTATTTCAATTAAGCTACGTGTCTGGGCACAGGCCCAAGGTGCAGTTATCTAGTTAGAGGAGAGAGATAATATATTATATATACAGGAGAAAGACAGACAGCAGACAGAGACAGTCAGTCTGCAGGACCCCCCCCCCCCCCCCCTGCAGGATATCTGAAGGATATCCGGACCAGGAGGGCAGGAGGAGACTAAAGAAAACTCATTCCCCCAGAAGAAGTATATAGCTATAGAGGAGGAGACTAAAGAAAACCTATTCCCCCAGAAGAAGTATGTAGCTAGAGAGGAGGAGGTTATTAACACGTAGAACCACTGTACATTTATAACCCTCACATTGGGATGCTATTTTATTGCAGTGGTATTTTATTGATTTAAAACATACGTGACGATGTGACGTTATCAGTTCCTTCGTCTACCTTTAATTGGGAATCGGGGGGAATTATTTTCATGGGGGACATGGGTACGGGGCACCCCTAGGCAGCACCGAACACTATCACTTAATCGCATTTCAACTTTAGCAAATTACCAGAAACATGAAAAGTGTTAGGGTTGCTCTGGACTGTGAACTGGGTTTCAGGTAGCATTAAAACGCGTGTGTCTGAAGTAGAAGATTTTCCGGGCAATATAGCCGAACTTTTAATCGTGTTCGTATACGATAGAGATCCCCACTAAATATCATGAATATTTTTGTAAAGTAGCCCTAATTCGTTCGGCACGCGCCAATGTTTACTTAAGACTGGTAGCTCATTGTAAATTGGATTTATAGAACTTTTGATTGCATTAAATGGGGTCGCAGCGCACGCCAGCCCCCTGACAATACACCCAATAAGAGCCTCTGGTCGAGGTCACGTGATCGGTTTAGGGCCACTGATAAGGTTGGATGATGAACACGTGTGAGGACGAGTTTAATAGTAATGCTACTGTACGGAAGGTTGGGATCCCAGAATAGCCAATGCTCGGTTGGGTTCAGCGCAAAAATATTGTTAAATTATCGGAGACAATGGGTCAGGACACTTTATCAAATATATCAGATACATTAAAGACGAGAGAGGGAATATACACGGCTGGATATGGGCCCGGTTTATCAAAAGAGTTTGGAAATATTTACGCAAAATGTCAACAAATACACTGATAAAAACTTCCAGTTATTTGTCAAGATGCCTACCTTCAAGGAGACTGGTAAAAAGAGAAACGGAGGCTGCTTTTCGTCGGCCAGTAGGAATGGTTATATTTCTTTCTTCAAGTTGGGATCTCAAGGCATGGTTTCCATTTTTAGCTTTAGCCCTGGAAGGATATTTTTGGTCAGAAAAAGTCGAGTTTAAAGTTGTTAAAAATGCAAACAGAGCAGCAGAGACAAAAGCAATTAACAAAACAACAAAATGTCAACTAATATAATACCTTCTGAGAACTCCACCCAATAAGCTGACGTTAAGGGACTCCGGGTAGGTGAGTCTCCTCTGTACTTCCCCAATAGTAACATTGTACTTGCTAGCACCGGAGAGGAGGGATAGTCGGCCTGGCACGGTGCAGAACACCTCCATTGGGTGACATGCTTTACCACTACCATGAGGTGACATGTCGCTCATATCCTTGCTTAAATCGCTCAGGTTCTGGGGGAGTATTGGTTAAACATTTGGTATGAAGCGTTTTACGAAGTGCAGACTGCTTAAATTGCTAAAACATAATTTCACCAAGTTGAGAAAAGTTTGGTAAATAAGACGACGACGAGGCAAAGAAAATAACGACATTTTTTTGGAATTAATGAAAAACAACAACATACCTGGAGGCTATAATCGGAGAGACTGCCGAGAGTCTTGGGTTTAGAGTCAGGTTCATCGGGAGGGGTGAGGGGTACGTCAGGAGAGTTGGGGGTTGAGATGTACACTTGGTTTGTAGGTGACATGCAGTCCTGTGTAAAGAGTCGGGTTAGATACGCAGATATTTAGGTAAATAATGGTGTAATTTTGGGGAAATTGGTGATTTTTGTTGCAGTGCAGTGGTTAAAGCTCAAATATGATCATGACCCAATAGTTCAGAAAAAGGAAGTAAGAATAATTCTTACGGCGACAGCAGCATGATCGTTCCAGTTGAGTCCTTGTTCAGGAGAGGTGTAGTGTTGTCGTACTGGAGCAGGTTGAGGCCAGCCCGGTACCAGGTTACTGTAGCTCAAACTGGAGTACATCATGTCCGTGTCGGTCCGTGGGGGCGAGGGGTACGGCTGCTCGGGACGAGAAGGTGAAACCTCGGGGAAGTAGTGGTACTGTCCCGCCAGTGTCTGGGGACCTGGCTGCTGTTGTGGCTGCTGCTGCTGCTTCTCTGGCTTGAATACTACAGGGTGATCGGTCGGTACTGAGGCTGGGGGAGAAGATCTGTTAGAAGAGCACGGTATTTGGCTGGATTATTCCAAGTTTAATTAGAGGCTCTAAATATAGGTAATAAATCATAAAAGTGCAGCGAGCAAGTCTTTTGCCTTGACTTGCCTGTCACAATTTCACATACTCAGTAAAATACTGATGGATCTAAAACTAATGATGAGCAAGATATTGGTATTTCACCAACAAGGACTCACGATAGGGTGTGTAGCAGCTCGTGTACTGGGTACTAGTCTCAACATTCTCCTGACCACCGTAAAAAACGTCCTTCATAACGGGACCCTGTTGATGTGGCAAACTTTGCGAGTGCGAGGCGACGGCCTGCGAGTGCGGTGGTAGAATCTGCGAGTGACTGGCAGGTGCTGCTCCCTGAGAAAATATCAAATTGTTAGTTTTTATAGAGTGGGGGAAGTTTCTAGAGTCTTTGCTCCATCACAAATGGCTGTAATACTGGTGAACATTTTCATCACTCAAATGACAAATCAGAATCTGTACAGTTTACAGTTTACATATTTGTTGACATTCTTCATTTGGCATGGTTCACGGAGGCTTCAAAGCACATTTTAAAACAAAGCGTGCTTTAAAACCCCCAAACATGCCTGGCCATGTCAGATACTAAAATAACACTATCCGTTTCAAATCTAATTTATCGGGATACTAATTAGATGCCCGCAGTTCTAACCAGATTGGTGACCTAACATCGGACACCTGACAGGGGAAGTTCTACAAGTTCACAAGTTGACAAAAAGCCCAACAACAACAAGCTGCGCTGAGTTATTTGAAATTTGTTTAATCAGTATTCTTACTATAGTGACCACCAGCGATTTGTAATGGCCAGCTCGTGCCAAAAGTCAGGTCGTGACCGATGCGTGTTATAATCAGGCACGAAGTGATTCTTGCTAATAATAATATGTGGCGGCCTCGGGACAGCAGAATATTCAATATTCAAACCGACCGAAATAAAAGATTTACCGATCATGAACACTCAATGTTACCTACCTAATACCCATTTACGTCTTCAGTTTACAAATCAGTGAAACACAAATATTATAATAGAGGGCGCTCAATGTTTGTAACACAGTACCTCATCTTCATAAGAACAGAAATAGAGGGCGCATGCAGATTTGCAGAAATGTGGCTGTTAGGTATCAAAGAGTATAATACTGTCGGAAAAAGAGTATTTACCCGTGTACTTACAAGTGTATATTAACAAAACTTTTTACACGTAAACATTATACTTACTAAGTTTTCATATCTTGGTTGTTGAGTAGTGAGAATTCCCCGACTTTTGATGGTAGAACTAGTATCTGTAACCTCACTGCAACTAACAGGAACCTGCTCTTGGTTTTCTTTCTTGTAGCTTGTCGTGATCTGAACCAACGCTCGTTTGATCGAGTCTATAGCTTTAGCCTGGGATGACAACAAGGTAAACGTGAGAACAACACACAAGTGCAGGTAAAAGCAAACGATCGTGTGGATCGTGGTAAAGGTAAGATATCAGGGTTCGGGGATATAATGTGATTTTACATTTTGTGTAGTTTATTTTGCGGGCCATGTCTGTTGTCACCGGATTTATGTGTCGTGTGTGTGTGTGTGAATTGCAGGGTATAAGCTGCCCCTCGTCTGATTACCAATTGTAGAGCAAAAAGTCTCAACTTCTAGGCTACAGCCTCTTTAACATAATAATCTCACCTGATCAACATCTCCCCACGGTTTCTTGACGGGACTGTTTGACTCGAACACTTTCGGGAGATCCTCAATATTTCTGTTTACCCAATCATCAACCTGAAGAAAAGTTATGGTTACTTCATTGTTACATGAGAGTTGAATACAACGAGAAAACAGTGAACAGACAGAAACATCCAGTACATGTGTGGAGTATGATTTAGTGCCACAATTTGTATGTGGTTTAGTACTATGATACAATACTAGGACTACTAGGAGTCGCCAAGAGAAAAGACATTCAAATTTCCTCATTTCCATATTGAAATTAGAATCTTTATACTCCTGCATAATTAACAGATAATAGCACTCGTTTTGAAGTTGGTTCCCATGGGACCAGGGTTAATCTACCCTATTGATTTGAGGTGAAAGAATAGATTAGGGGAATCACTTCAGGCGAATGACCAGTCAGCCAAAAAAGAATGATAGGTATTGTGGTGCAGTCACGTGACGGAATGTCTCCATGGTGATTGGCTCCTCTGACCACGTGTAGAGGACCATTTGTTTTTGAAGGGCGAGATTGCATTGTTTTACGGCTGGCTACCACTGCTTACTCCTTCATAATTACTGATTTCATCAGTTGACATACAAGATTTTAACGAGCACGTGGACAAGAAGAGAAGTCCACTAATTTAGATTGGTAATTTTTACAGCGAGAGCGACGGGGTAATATTGTAGCATTAACCTGGCGCACCGCCAGTAGTGACGTCACATCCAATCACAGCCAAGAAGGGTTGAACACGTGATACACTCATTGTCACGTGGGCAGCTCCTGAGGGGTGCTGCGCGCGCACGTGCCCCTCGGAATGCTCAGTAAGTAATTTAGCATCCCTGGCCTTCCCCGACTCGGTTCGTTCTGCTATCTATCTTTTACAGGTGTATGCTGACTACAGTCGTGCTACTGTAGGATCCAGATCATTGATTGCCCCCCAATCACTTGACTGGATCCTGAACACGTGGATCACTAAACCAATCAAAATTGAGGACTGAAGTCACGTGGTTTTATGCCCTAAGGGGGTGGTCATGGTGGTGAGTGCAAAGTAAGTGCTCTCTCTACTTTTCTCTATCATTAATATGATAATTGTGCGCGGGATTTTCAAAAACAGATGCCCACATGCACATAGTTCAACGGTGATTAGTGATTTGCTGGGTTAATGGACACTGGAATAGTGCAGATTAATAAAGGGTACAAAATGGCGGGAAGACCAGTTGTCGAAATGGCGGGAAGAACCAATGCTCTTTTCTTACTCCTCAGTTACTATGACGCATTGCTAAGATTTAAGAAGTAAGTACATAAAGGAAACAGACAAACAGGAAAACTGATGAACAGCATGGCACCATTGTACTCCAAAATAACCATGATATCTATTAGTCATTGTTACCACCACACTCTCGTATTTTACCACTGATCCCTTCTTTTCCTGGCTGATGTCATGTTTCATCTAAACAAATTCTTGAATTTCCCTCATGCGATTATGCTTTCCTGAGATCTCAGCATAGCTTCTTGAAACTTGTTTGCAGATCTTTTGCTGTCAGGATCAGTCTTAGCATTACTAATACTGTCGGTCATTTGAAACACCACATTAGATGAAATAGTAAGCAGCCGATAACCACATGAAAGTGTTTTAGTATACCACCTTCGGAGAGAATAAACTGACAAGTTGACAAATCAGTAATCCGCCAGCTCCCTACACATATAATCCAGACAGTTCAACAGCTCAACTTCCTGGTGTAAAAGAGCACTTCACATCTAACAGCTCTATAACTACTTACTTTAGGTTACTTTAGGTAAATACTTACAATCCCGCCCCGTCCCTAACACCCACATAATCGGTACTTGTTTTCCTGAAGAGTAATCTGAAGGAGTAGGATGAGGAGACCGTGTGAAATTTATCACATAGAACAGTGTCCGACTTCAGGGATGGGACGGTGCGATGGATAAAGGAACATGAGTGTTACAAGAGAATATGTACAGATTTAAACCAAAAATAATTATCAAAAGTGGAAAATTAGCCTCTGTTTATTTGCAAATTTGGAGTGGCATTAGGACTATACTGGCGGCGCTATGTAGCTACTTACATCAGGTCCTCTGTCTACCGAACAGAAGTTACAACTTTTCACACGTCCACTATTACAATTTTGTTAATAGTTTTTGGGGTTTAATCGTCGACATGAAAAAGTAACCGCCGGTGGATCGTTAAAAGATTAGTCACATTTACACACATTAGTAGTAAACACTCCATATTGTATGTAGCAAGAAGTAGGCATGTTTAACTTGTCGGAGATTGACAGGTTTGGGCCCCTCCTTGACAAGAAAAGAAAACCTCAATCTAACGCCCTACATCTCGCCCAGACAAGTATAAAACACAGGTATCATTCCAGCTACCACGGAGCAGCTCACGTGACCAGACTTACAACTGATTGAAAATGTTTAAAAGCCTGAAGAACCTTATGCTTGTACAATCTAATCAGCTGCACGTATGGTCATCAGGTTAATACGAGGTGAGTTGCTTGCGGAGGGGTCGTGTCAGTCTGCGGCACCGTCCTGCCTCCCTCACCTACAACACGCACACCTCAGGGTCAACTACGCTACATAACAGTTTTTACATTTTACATTTTACAACCATTTCATGCTTCCTCAACGAGGAGTGTGAGGCCCTATAACATGATCTGACATAGTTCAATAGATACTCTCGTAACAAGGCTTCGTTTCCAGTCAAGCATGTATCAAGGGGGATATCTCTGTGGTGGTTAACAGACAGCTGTTAGTTTGTTTCTTTTTCTAATCAGAACTGAAACCCTACATAAGACTCCAAGTCTTTCGAGTGACCGGTTAGACTGATAAGTCAGTCGAGGTCAGTGAACATCAGAAAATATTTGAGGTGAGATAGAGTCAGGTGACTGGTCGTCTGCAGAACAAAACCCTCAGACTTTGGTAACGAGAGTTGGGTGATGACGTCACGTGATTGAGGCACGTGCCCGACGAGGCATGCAGGATGACTAATAGGATGAGTCGCTAGAAGGCCTTGAGGGGGATACTCGCATATACCTACCCCCTAATTGACACGTAAGGTTATTGAAATTGTACACTGACCGGCAGCGACTGACACTAGTAAATAATGCCTCAATACTGGGGGTAGAATGGCTGGCAAGTCTCCCAGCACTCAAGATAGACTGGTTGGTGGTTGGTTATACAACCCGTCCCCAATCTCCGATTGGAAAATGACCTGACTTAATTTTGATTGTGAATACGGGTGGTACCTAAAGACTATTAGTATTAGTTATCAAGATAGACTTGGACACTAAAGTGAGAAGTTATCTCATGGAATTTGGGACGAAGGCAGAGTTCCGTTTTTGTTCTGCCGTCTACCTCCACTTATCATCACTACAATCTTGAGGTCTTGAGTAGGACTCACACGATTTGAATTGACAAGAAAGATAAACAAGTTGATCTGGTCTGGTATTGCTGAAGTTGGTTTTACCAAATTCCTCTCAGTAAGGTATGTGAGATATGTGTCCTTCTCCCTGGGTCACACACAGTCGGGCCAATAAGTCGGGACTCCAGCCTGCAGTACGTCAAATCCAGCTACGAGTCATATGTAGGACCTGTCACCGTATCCTCTCTTCATCTATAATAAAATGTGCAATATATTTATGTTCCCTAGAATTATGATCCCCGAATCAAACCCCGGATGAACTGAAATTGTTGAGCACAGTCTCCTCAAAATTATTTGTGATTGCATTAAAAAATTACCGCGATGCTATAAAACTATAGCTTGGTCGAGTTCGCAATGTAATGCCACAAGACCAGACTAATAATCGAATGATACTTTATCTCAAGTTCAGGGGATTATTACGGTGTCCTAAGACTAATTAAGGGCACGAGCGAGCAGCCCTGAGGGTTGGAGTCGTGTGTTGGGGGAGAGGGAGCTGATGAGAGGACCTCTGCTACCGGCCAGAACAGGGGGCATCAGGCACGCGCCTCACTCCTAGTAGCGGCCGGGCAAGGTGGCATCTACATTGCTTCGCTCATACCCGTACTGAGACTATCTAATTCACTTTATTCCTCACCCTGAATAGATTTGGTCGACCATGCCCTCTTTGCGTAGACTCCTCTAAAAGTGCGGTCACGTGCCAGGGATTACTGCAAGCCGATTGGTGGAGGAGGATCAGGTGCGGTGAAATACGGTGCTCTGATTGGCGGAGGAGAAGTACGAGGAAAGAAAATTGGTACCCACAATTGAACAGTCGGTCCGGTATGAACTAAGTATTGTAACCTCTAGATAAATACAATGTTTCCATTTTTACTAGCTCAGCACGCTAACGCGAAGGGCGTGATTGTATTACTGATTTTCACAGATAATAGCTGCTTTACAAGCTGTTCTCTCTTTACTGTCCCCTCCACAAAGTATGAAGAAAACCTGCTGGTCCTCTTAAAGTATTTCAGAGGAGTGGCAAATAGGGACCAAGCAATTTACCTTAATGGAAAGTGGAACAATCAAAAGTTTTTGAATAAATCATGAGCTGAAAAGAGGTAATGTGATAGAGAACAAAAACTACCTAGCAGTCAACCACTTAATGATTTAATGTACAGTAATGACCCCTGACAACATTATACGACCCACTACCATTAACACCCAGCTATCTGTACTCCAGTCTTATTTTCCGTCATTTCCGGCTTGATAAACCGCTAAACCGGGCGGTTAATTATTCGGACGCCCAGTTTTAGTACGGTAAAGGCAGACAGCGCGTCTTTCTTAACTTACAATTTTATCGCATTAGGATCCTCTGAACAGTGGAGATATGTCATTATTGAGTTAAATATATGTAAAATAGTTTAATGAGATTGTTAATAGGGAGGAGGATTGGCGGCAAAAGAGGATATAGCCGTCAGATATAATATTAGGGACTGGAAATATGGCGTTATTTTTACCAGTGTCCAGAACACCAGAATAACTGTCATTTCAACCACAATTTTGATCGCGAAAACAGGAAATAATGTTGAATCTAGTGAGAGTCACGACAAACAACAAGAGAGAAATCACACCAAGTAATGTATCCATATAATTGTTCACTGTTCAGCTGGGAACCAGATTTCATTACATTTAGATTATAGTCCAGCGTGCTGGGTAGAGCTGAGACTAATCTCTAAACCTCTTATAAAAATTAATATTATTAACCGATTTGTCAAAGTGTTGCCGTGTACTCATCACTCTGAGGACCGTGACATAATAATGATAACCTGACCTTATTAATACATGGTTTAGCTCCCAGTCACGCAAGCTCCCAAGCTTTTCAAGTTTCCCAATCTGTCCGGCTGTTAAGCATGTTATAAGATGTGGGAACTGAGATACCGATATTATCAGGGCACATACAACTTAGTGGGGGTCTAAGTGGTAATATTAGTGGTAGCAAGGAGAGGGTTTAGACAACCTCTTACCACAGTTAAGCATCAGGGCACCATGTTGGGAGCATGCCTTAAAAACTCACTAAAGAGGTACTTGCAATCCGGCAATCAGGGACTTACCAAGACTCAGAGTCTGTCTAAAATAAATGCTTTCTACTCAGTTGTAAATGTTTTCTAATCTGATTTTAGAAACCCAATGTTTGCTTGAGATTTAATTTGTAGTAGTTGACAGGGTGACATAGGAAGTTCTCATGAATCATGCTGTGATTAGATTGGTGTAAAAGATGTGCTCCTAAAACTTAGGTGTGATATTGCTAATGGAGACAATCTTGAGGGAATGAAAGCTTATTGTCCTATAATGGGGTAGTGTTGAAAAATTAAAACATTAAGTTTCTAATTAGGTTTTGTGGTAGAAAAATAAGAGAGTGTAGTATGTCGGCGGTACTGGAAATGGTAAACCAACTACCTTTGCTGAATTAATTTAAGACAAGATGATTGTAATAAAACTAATGCAGCCAATTTTGATAATGTTTCTCCTGGAAATGGGACACCAACTTCTTTTGTTATATTACTACCGTAAGACAGGCTAATTTTAATGAAATTAATGCAGCCTAGCTCAATAATATTTCTCAGATAAAGGGCTATTGAAATTAATCTCTTTAGACCTAAATTAAACCTTAAGTCGTGGGAGTCGCTCATGGAGATTGACCTATGTTGTCCTTTGTGGAGCTCCCAGCTAATGATACTATTGGTAAAGAGAAGGAAATGCCACGATTTTTGGGGGATATGTGACCGGCAAAACTGGCCCTGAGAATTATACGTGATCTCATTTGAATAACCATTAACCATCCCAAACTGACACTAAACCTTCTAAATCACTGTCAACCGTTGCCATGACGACAGACAGCCACTTTGTCACAGGTAAACGCTCATCGACTCGCCGGCTCATACAACCAGACCAATCACGATACAGGACCTGACCCACGTGACAGTAACCAACCAATCAGAGTCCCGTATTTGTACCACGTGCAGTGAACAAGCCAATTAAACCAGCTGAATACGGTGAAAGTGTATGGTCCTGTGTTGTCTCAGCCCTAAATAGAGGAACAAGCAGGGTTTTCAGATCCCAGTCTCGGGTAACATGTTGCACTGTAATACGGTGTACCCGGCTAAACACTACAAACTGTAATACACATCATCAGGAGACTATCGGGTCCTAATTTCAGGAGACACTGTTTGTAGTGTTTAGCCGGGGTTTAGCCTGACTGTCGGGCCAGAATCCTGGCACTATAACACTAGTCTCACTAGTTCTAAATTATCATAAACACCTCTCAAATAATTCAAATTAATGAGGAAGCAGTATGCAATATAATATACCGCTAAACAGATATAGTGAGCGGGTATGTTAGGGCTCCTAAACAGGGAGCCTGATCTCTGGATAGCTCATTACACAGGACACACAGCACAAAGACTGCCCCTCTCATTAATAAGAGAGACCGGCTGGATAGAGACCCAGAGACCAGACTATAGTCTTGTAGTCTTGTAGGGTTATATGACTTGTTTGGAAGCTTACTTTGAGACTAGACTACGGTCTCTATTTGCAGGGTTTTATGTCAGCTCTCAAGATGCGAGGATATATTAGTTAACCTCAAGTCAACATGTTAAGAGTGGTGAACCTGGTCAAGCTGATATAATAATAACAAAATGTTTAGCAGCCGTGTTTTACTGCTCCACCCTCTGTTGCCTAGCAACGAGAGAGTTACCGTGGAAACAACACCTGTACAAAATATTATCAAAAACAAAATATTACCAAAAACAGGAGCTCAGGGTGTTTAAAACGGAAATAATTCTTTAAAAAGTGTTAAAATGAAATGTTCAGTACGAGAGCCTCAAGGCCACGTTTCGCTGTCTTGTTCTTTAGAAATTTAGAAACTGTAGATTTGCACTGAATTTACAGTCCTGAATTTATGCATGAAATCGTTCACTGATTGATCCCCGTAGTTCCCGTAGTTCGGTATCTTTTAAAAGGCTGATTTGGGTATATATATACAGCAGTATTTGTGGTAACCATATCCTTGGTACCACAAATAATGATAGGAGTTAATGAAAAGAGCGAATTAAATTGCACTAATTTAAAAAGGGCGTGATCAGAGTGATGTAATGTTAAGAATATAGAGGCTTTAGTATCCACACTGGGTTTTCCCTCAGAGTAGTAAACCTTTTCCCGCCTTACGAATTTTGAAATTCTGCTCCATCCTCCGATATTAAAAACTTTCAGAAAAACAGAAATCTGATATTGAGCGATGGAAAATTATGGTCATACAAATAAGATATCTTAAAATGTAAATGTTAAATTTGATATAGAGAAAAACTTACAACCTGAAATGATCGGGTTACATATCCACAAGTAGGAAAACGGCGGTAAACTATATTCACAAGGTATGTGAGAAACGTATGTGCCCTGTATTTGGTATCTTAGTGATCTAATTTCAGAAACTGACACCCACTTCCAAGGTGAAAATGTTCTGGAAATGGTGTGGTTTTACCCTGATCACATCATGAATGATTTGTAGACGGAGAGACTGAACAGTAATGACATGGCTACTTGTTAGGTTATAGCAAATAGTAACGGACTGTGTCGTTACAAGGCTTAAAAAGGAATTTGAGAGCCAAAAATGGTGGCTGATGTAAGATATAGGGCTGAAGCACTACAGTAGTATTCAAAGATATGTTGAGTGAATTAACATGCATGTGGTATGAACATGGAAACGTTGAGAGAGTGATATTTGGGTGTGATAAAGTGGGCAAATGATTGTCAGAGGCTTATATCATAGTTTTCACATGCTACAACAAATTGTAGACACAGATCAAAAACAAGACAATGAACTGTGTACCAGTAATCAGCAAGTGAAACCTAAACAAAGCTATCGTGATGAAGGGAATCATTTGTTATTAGAGAAACAATCAGAGAGAGATGAGGACATACTTGATTATTGGCAGTAGTGGCAGGTGGATCCAGCTTCTGTCTTTTCCTAGCCTGAGGCTCATCCTCTGAAAACCTCCTTTTTATCTCACTGTGACCAACCGGAACATTCAGAAATGGGGAAATGGTCGCTGACATACTGATAATAAACTGATAAAAACGAAGTGTACAAGAGATACGAAGTAGAGATTGTCAACCGGGAAATGCTATGAGTGTGCTGTGATGGGAGATATTACCGGCGCTCTCTCTTCCTCCAGCCTCTCGCAGATGTTGCTACGTCACGGCGCGTGACCTGATCACGTGGGCGACTGATCACGTGACGTTGCTATGGTGACACGTGAAGTGCACGTGATACGGGGCGCGCTCCTGTCCCCAAAACAATCAATGCATGATGAGACGGTACGGTCGCGTGCGAGTAGGATCTGTGTTTGGAAACAAATAAACCGGTCATGTGACGAAGGCATGGATAAGTGGGGAGGAAGGGTGGCATACTGTATTGACAGAGACATCAGGATAGGAGATAAGATTAGATAAATATCACGCACTAAGTAGATAAGATAAGTGGGAATATAATGGCAACATTTGCATAGGGATGATAAACAAAGGGTAGTGAGATTCTGATATCAACTAGGTCCATTGATGAAATCATTGATATCGACACAATCTTTCTCTTGTGTTTATCGGAAAAAAGAGCTAAAGCTGTTTGCTATCTATTGACCAGCTTTTAAGCAAGAACTATAAAAAATTACCACTCGGTCATCGGTGCTCATCAGTTTTAGGTACAAACAGTGTTTAAATCTGTAGACAATGTTTCAAATTTGCAATGTATTACTGCAGTAGCAATAGCAGCTTCAATTGTAGCATCCTGCATTTTTGTTAAAATCGATTTAGGAACTTACAAATTTTAACCTTCATGGTCAAACATTATTTGGAATTCAGATGTTGGCTGAGAGACGTAAAATGATTCAAACACCACGGACTTCATAAGCCAGTATCATAAACTCCAAGTGATAATTCATTTCTCGATATACCTATACCATTGGGAAACAAATATCGAGAACCGTTCTAAGAGCTTAAGAGACACCGCTTTCAATATAATTTGGCGTGTCTTCAGCCTCACCCCTTCCAAGGAGGAGTAACTCTTTGTACAACTCGATCTATACAAGTGTCATTACCATTGCCACCTATGGTAAAGTACGGTGTGATACTATTACAATTAGCATCTTGTATTCGAGGAGCTAAGAGCTATAATTCCGCCCAAGAATCAAGATAAGTACCCTGTTACTCCAACCGAACTAATGAGCGAGAAGTAGTCAGTAGTGCTGAGTGCAGGTGAGACTGTTAATTGTGAGACTAACAACCCAAAAGAGGAGGTAATGTTTGATATGTATATTTCGATTTTCATCAAGTAGCCGGCAAGCCACCATTTGACAGGTAATTCTTTGTTCGATTAGCACTTAGTGGTCAGCACCCAGTTCCACCAATCCCAGCATTTCCATCGCGATTTTGCCGCGATTTACCTGCGAAAAGTCGGTATGTGTCCAAAAAAAGTAATGAAATTTATAATGACACATTTGTATCCAACTTCAATAACTTCCATCATGCACTACCAGTACCAAGGTTAGGAAAAAAGCTGGTCACGGTTGAGGAGACCCCTGCAGACACTGCAGACGAAGGAGTTGATGAAGGAGCAGCAGTACCGCCAGTTTAAATGTAGACTAATGCTCGGCATGGTGCTAAACTTGGCCAGCCAGCTCCAATTAGGAAAACTGGGTGCCATGCTCAGCTGTTGTTGATACTGGACACGTTTGGGCCAATAGTTCCGTTAAAATCATCGACCCAGATAGAATTCAAACGCTGTGAAAATTCAACAATATACATTTAACTCAGCTCAAATAAAAAAGAAATAGACAAATTAGTCACGGTTAAAATCAGTGCAAATAGACATGTTTCATGGACCGGTCATCCGCATTCCCGCCAGTATTTACGGATCATTGACTGCTAGATTGTGTTTGTAGACACGACCTGCACAGAAATGGCTAAAGATAGTAGATACGATGAATGGGAATTTAACGTGAGGACACAGTACCCTACAAATATGCGGAACATGCGAAAATAAATTAAAATTTCATATAATATTCAGAAAATACTGCACCGACTGAAATTCACTATTCATAAAAATTAAGTTACTGTCTTTATATATAATATTGATTGGTGCTACACGAGGTGGATTCACAGCTTCAAAAGGGGGAGAAATTATTCATGTTTAAAAGCTGCAAGTGCACCCACACCCCACTGGGTAGTATTGGGAGTGGTTATAAGGATGCAAGCTCGCTTGAGCAGCGTCGAAGGAAAGAAGGGTAAAAGCAGGAAGCTCCATATCCGTGATAAATAAGAGCAGTTTTACTGCAGTACTAACCAGGGGTGTAGGTGGTACTAACCAGGGTGTAGGTGGTACTAACCAGGGGTGTAGGTGGTACTAACCAGGGTGAAGGTGGTACTAACCAGGGGTGTAGGTGGTACTAACCAGGGGTGAAGGTGGTACTAACCAGGGGTGAAGGTGGTACTAACCAGGGGTGTAGGTGGTACTAACCCTTCATCGGTCGGTTAAAAGGTTGAAATCTCGAAATGTTCCCCACTACATTTTCCTAGCTGCTTCTGAATCCTACGGTAGGATTCCTACCCTCATCTCCGCCAGCTGTAATAAAGTATTTACTCAGACTTTAAACCACAACTACTACTACTATGTCGGAACTAACTTGTTTTTGTAATTGTGTCGATAAGAAAAACAAAATGTTGCGAAATGCATATTTCGTTTCCTTTTTCCGGCTTGATACTGAAGCATTTGACAGAACAATTTTTTACGTTTTGCACTTGAATTTCTTGAAGGGCTTTTTTTTTCTTTGGGAATGTTTATTTCGACTCTAATTGTTGCCTTTGTTTGTTTTGTTGAGAGTCAATTAATTTACTATATTTGATTCACTGATATGTGATAGGAGAGACCCGAACAGGGAACTGTAATTAGGGAGCGAGACAGGAAGATAAGACAAGCTGTTTAGTCACGTGGTGTTGCTATGGTGACACGAGACAGGTCACGTGGGACACGAACTCCTAACGACCTTATCAATTCTGACAGCCGATGTTTCAGCCACTATCACATTTCCAATTGCACCTTTCTACAGACACTGTCAAAGTAGCTGACGTTTCCGGGATAAGATCTGCTGACCACCTCCACAACTTGGATTGTTGGCCAATTATTGGGCCTTAACAACATGAGTCACGTGACACATGCTTTGAAAGCAGTTATAATCCAAGGCAAGAGACATACACCCCAAGGGGAGAAAAAAAACTTGCAACAAAACATTAGCGTGTAAACATGATGGCCCCAGGGTTCAGGGACGCCCAAGAGGAGAACTACAGCTGGACCCTTTTTACTGGTGACAACTGACAGTGCACGCACCTTCTCTTCAGATAGAGGGTTCAGCTATTCTCTGACCTGGACAATACAGTGGGCTAGGTCGTGAGTGATATTGCATATCATGATATCAGTGACACGCTAAAACATATCATGATTACAGTGACATGTAACTGGTCATATTTGCAGTTTTTAGGACTGACAGTGTTATTTTTAACAAGATTATTGACTATAACAGGAGAGACTAACACAGGAGTAACACGAGTCATTGAATTTGGGATGATTTAGTAAGATATCCTACTAGTAGATGTCACTACGAAACTTTCCGATATTTCGGCCGTCGCTGTCCAATAATACCCGGTCCCAAACGGACGTAAATCCGTTCTAGTCCCGTTCCATGAAAAGTGATGAAATAAAATCTTCCAGTTGTATGATATTAACTTGAGATGAACTTGTAGTTCGCAAGAAATGAGCGTATTGGATGATTATGATTCTTGTAGTGTCTCGATCTTTGACCAGGAAAAATTCGCATAGAGCGTCCTTTGTATGTCAAATGGTCAGTAAGCGGTTGATAAATAGCTCCCAGAGCCACATTTCTCCTGTACTTATTTTCTATAGAGGGATTGATTTTACAAGCGGTGTTGTCAATTCAACTATGCCCTGCTACTAGAGTACAAGTGTCAACTAATATTAATTAACGATATTTGTCACAACGTCGGGGTGAGTCCACCTTTGACACACGCCACTATTGGCACTGTGTTGTTTTATTGCGGAATTAATTAGGGTTCACGTTAACATTCAGTCAATAAAATGGGAAGTGGGAGAGTCCTTGGCACGAGATGAGCCGGACTATTTGAACACGTGCATTAACAAGTTCTGCACGTGTTGGTTAGGAAGTGGAGGTATTGCTTTTATTTAGCACGGCGTGGGATTTTCAAGCGCGATTTCGATAATGAAGATAAATTATTTCCCCCTAAGTATTGAAATATTTTGACTTCTAGCTCTACACTAGCAGTAGATTAGTTGAACACGTGCAGGTCACACAGGATACGTCACGACACGTGTTTGGATTCAATGTTACATGATAGCACCTGATCACGTGACTAAATTAGGCTGTGAGGGAGGAATAATGGGGGTATAACCCTGCAAAACTATCTACATATTGATATCATCTACTTGACGATACCATGGCAACGGAGGGATAGGATCACAATTAGGGTGTATCATGGTGTTTACAAACTAATTATTAGACATAATATTTGGGACGTGCTTCTTATCACAGGACCAGATCCCACGATTGGGGAGGGCTGGTGTACGGTCCAGCGATTGCTTGACTAACACGGTCTGAATTTGTCAAACTGACAAAATCCCTCGATATGATTCAAACCGCCTTGAAAAATTGAAATATTAGGGTATGGTATTAGTCAGACATGCATAGGATGTGATAAGGATCGCGCTCTAGTCCATCTTCAGTTCATTGATAAATTACATTGTAAATTAAAACCAAAACTTTCAGATCCTCAGCCTGGTCGCATTACCAAGTTCAGCTTGAAGTTGTGCGAACATTTGGCAAGGTGGACACGTGGTGTGACGTCATAACACGTGGTGTGACGTCATAACACGGTTGGTGCATTACCAAGTTCAGCTTGAAGTTGTGCAAACATTCGGCAAGGTGGACACGATGCGAGAGTTATAGTGTGTGTTGAACAGAGTAACAATATCCTAATTGTAAAAGGTTTGTTCACCCTGAGGGGTCCTGACCTGCGCCCCCAACTACTTAACTCAATCCTCCTCATCAACAAATACCGGTCGTGTCTGGTATAAGATTTTACCCAA